ATGAGATGATAGTTCATCAACAGACAAACCACAAGACAATGACTTCATAATGTCTCAGTTAGAATACATACAATATAAGGACGAGAGACACTGAGCAGTCAATCGTCACCCTCACCCCTTGTCTATGCGTGCCCCCCTTAAGTTCTCCCTCTTAACAATGGTGAATTGTCTCTACACCTTGCACATGATTATCAACCCAAACCTGTGATAAAACTCAGAATACCATCATCAGTTGGGATATATTGTGTAATGTGAGTGAAGAACCGAGGTTTGACTCTTTTCTTGTTGGTATTTTGGTGGCGTTTGTTTGTACCATATCCTTATATGGTAATAAATTACGCACTTTGTGAGGGGTTGTTATTTCTTTGTGTCGTATTAGTTTTCTGTGATTATCTCTGTATGATTTCATTTGGTGTGAATGTATATCCAAAGTGCTTTCACAGTCCGCCTGCATAAATTAGATTATTATTAGGACGCTTATCCAATTCCTGTAACCGAATTTGCTATATACGGTACTGCAAAATCTGTATTACGTAACATTATTTTCTAATGCATCCTGCAGGGACTTAAACGAAATCTACTTATTACTCACCTTACTGACTGCTCTACAATGGCTGCCAGTTCAGAAACACCTTCATCGTCACCACAAGGAAATAGTTCATCGAAATCTGAGGATGCAGAACCCATCGTCTCTCAGCAAGTGCTTACCACAGGGGATAAATGGACAGACCTGAAACTCGCTGCACAGGTACGTTCTTAGTTCTTGAAGTTCCTTCGTTACATTTTACCTTCATTCGATCTATCTGACTCACGTTATTTCGTTCATATATCCATTCACTTTACTCTTTTCTACCGTTAATGTTGGCGAAAATGCGGGATACGCGTTAACCGTCATGCGAAAGGAAGAGAATTTCACCCGTAAATGACTTTAAACACATCGGAGAGATCCCCTGTGCGCGGAAAAGCCTCCTCATGGGTATCGGTGCGGGAGTTGGGATAGGATTCGTACGTGGCATCAATGCAAGTGAGTATATTTTCCAAACTTAACTTCTTGAGACGTGTAATATTAAAGATACCACCGACATACTCAAAAACGAAATGGAATGAAAATACAATATTTATTATTCTATTACGACAACGACGACGGCTTTGCAAAAATACATAAATCGCTATTCCTGCAGAGCCGTTTGTAGCTGCGAATTGGGCAATGGGCACGTTTGTGTTGGTATCCGTTGGTGCATGGTACGTCAACCCTCTTCAGAACTTCCTCTAAATAATTCCAAGGAAAAAACAAAAGATACGAACATAGACCCAGAACTAACATGTGTGGTATTACGTTAATAGGGTTGGATGTAACGCTGGATTGAGGCGCGAACGTGAGCAGGTGCGGACGGTGGTTGAGCAAATGGCAGAGCGGAGACTGCGACGCGCGAATCAGGATGCGAAGACGGATACTGACGCGGACGCGCGGAATCGATGATGATGCGTTCGCCCTTAGCTTGGACCGGTCGGTGTGTTCGAGACAAGAAATTGGTATAGATCAAGACAGGCGGAGGAAAGGTTGGGACTACTGGATAAGAGGGTTGGGGGAAGGAGGGTTGTGGCGTTCACTACTGAGTAGCCGAATTATTTGGGGCTTTAGAAGTATTGGTTGTTCCATACTTCGTTATCCCAGCTCTCTATGAGCGTGGTATCATGCTGGAACTAGACATTAATGACAGCACCGGGTTAAATTCCGTGAAGCTTACTCTGTGGCGAAGTTGGAATTCTGTGAAGCCGCCTCGCAAAACGTATACGTCAAAATCCTTGTCTTTACCTTCTTTCTCCTGCAGCTCGCTGCGAAGCTCAGAGTATATCTTGAGATCAATAGTGCGCGTAAGGCGTTATAAATAACTCTAAGCATGTAGAAAGTCATACCCGAGCGGCTTTCGGACCCCTAAAAACGCTATATAAGTACGAAATCGATAACCATATGAGGTCAAAGACGGACCGAGCTTGAGATAAAGCACAATGGAAGACGACCTTCGGTATGTCCTTCGTCTTCTCCACGAGATCCTGCACCTGTTCTTGAAACGTGTATGACGGCGAATGCACGCTGTTGACTATATGCCCGCCGAAACGGTCGTCATCACGGACGTCGATGACGACGTAGTCTGAATGTGGCTTAGCATCACTCTTGATCAGCTCGACGAGTTCCTGGCGTTGTGGGAGGCATCACATTGAGATTCAGGTCATCGATGTGGATATCAAGTCTTACATCGCCCCTCATGTACGTGTACGGCGGAAGGAAAGTCATCTCGGCAGAAGCAGTACTAGAGGTGGGTCCAGAGCGCAAGGAACGGTAAAACTTGTGGTGGCGGATTCTGTGCGGGAGCAGGTTACTTGAAAGCGATGAAGCCTTGAGACGGGCTGCTAGCATCAAATTGCAGGCAGAAGGTGAGTTATTTGTTTGTTCGGAGATGACGCATCGTATGTTCTCGATGACTCTCCCTCGCCGGCACGTGCCATGTTTTTTCTCCTTCCGGAGTCTTTTAGCACGACCCTGATTGGCCTAGACCATCATTTTAACTACGGTTAGTGGTCCGGGGTGACTTCCTCGCAAGTTTTCTCCTTCATACGTTCTACCGGGGGAACACTGGGTGACTTCCCGTAGGATTTTGGAAGCTTCCAAAATCCAAAATACTTGTACCTGTCTTATAAGCGAAATTAAAAAAAATTATTCCAGACCGTAGCACATTTTTCTGCAGTTGTTAGATCATTTTGATTCTATTTCACTTAAGGCAACATCTGACACATTTCTGTACAAAAAGGGTATAGATAAGATCTGTATGATCTTACTTATACCTTTTAAGGCAGGTACTTGATGGATGGAACGACTTTCTACTCTGAAAGGGGGGGTCAGACCCCCCTTACAGATTTCAGACTGGAAGACAACAAACTACGTGTGTTATTCGGTTCTCATATCGCTTACTCTTACTACCCTTCGCTTATATTCAGACTACTCCTTTTCTAGTACCTTTTTAACCTGGAAATCCTTCCAAAAGTCTACGGGAAGTCACCCACTAGATGTCTTTGCTCCATCTATTCGGGACCCGGGTACTTAACCATTGAGAATTTGGAAACGCTCGGCCAGAGGGATCTGACGGTTGGTCGAAAGCGGAACCATCTAACAAGTCGCATCTGATGTGCATGTCTATCTTTGCTGTGTTCTCAAAGTTAGTGTAGTATTTTCGTGATTGTAGCTTCTATGATGCCGGAACACAGTGCTTTGAATCGCCATCTAAGGCGCTATAGCAACGCTCCAGCAGTGACTGAGATGTTATCTCTTTGGATACTTGACAAGATCAACGCTCATTGTCTCACTCTCGCTGCGGGTTCCCTTCTCCTCTTTCACTCCTCACATTCGTCTCCGTCGAGCCAACTGGTATTCTCGGGCTGGCACCGACGAGTGATTGGCTCAACGCTTTGGGTTTGACGAAACATGTCATCTTCACCTCTATTTAATGTAGAGTTTGTGAAGCTAGTGTGAGTACAGGCTTTGTTCTGTGTGTTTCGTAATTCTCATTTCAAGTTCATAGCCGAATATCAAAATACTACCAACTAGCGTCTGTCAGTGAGTAGCCTTCTCTCAATGAACTCTTTTATGCAATACTAATCTATCCTCTTCACCTCTGGTAGTTATTCTACTGTACGATTATGTCATAACACTCGACATGGAGATCGAGTGGGTTTGGAGCCGGCTCAAGCGTTCGAAAATCACTATAGCAGATGCTCTTTTTCTCTTGGTGAATACTTTGTACCACTCTTAGTGTTCCGTCTATTAACCTGTCTGCGCTGGACAGAATCGATACTTCCCTCTCATCTCGTATTTTTGGATTATATTCGGTAGGCTTATTGTCTCCTTATACTCATCAGTCGACCCTCATAAAATCACTTTAGCATACGGTCAATCATACTGGTCACCATCCGTAAGTATCTTATTCCGTTTCATGAGTAAGTTCTCTCTGACATCTATGTTCTGTGGCAAGGCGTACGAATGCTTTCATCAGATAGCAATATTAGACCTTGTTACTAAAAATCCCGATTGGTTAGATGTTCAATATTTCTTCACTTCCCTCTCGTTATGACTACCATTAGCGAATGTATTATTGGCGGTAAGCACATATATCGAGCTTCTTTCAATTGTCCATGCTGGAATACTAACATGAATTCCTTAATTCTAAGTCATTGTCATGCTTCGTTTATATGCTGTTTATCTTGGTGCAGTATGGGTGCCAGCTTGCTTAGGCATACTCGTATTAGTCTCTTTGGCTTTTGGTATTGTGAGTATCATCATCACTTGGCCATATGTGTAGCAGTAACTTTGTTGACGTGTATCAAAGCGTGCATCCACGAGTGTCACCCTTGTTTCTCCTCATATAGGTGTAAATGGATGCATAATGACAGTCAAGGATGGATCGTGAGTGTTCTAGCCAATGCATATCAATAGTTCACTTAAAATATGATCCTCCTAACCTTTGCAGTGAATCAGGTAGGTGAACCTACTTGAACTTTAAAAATACTGTATTAATATTGTCATACTCAGTCTTTGCCATGCTTTGGGCCATGGGTGCTATATTTGATGCTACCGTGTTCTTCATGACAATTTGGGGAACACGGCAGAGACAAATGTGCAATGCAGACCAGAAGACAACCGGGCCGAAATGTTTACCAGGTCTCCTACTTCGACATGGTATGTATTGTTGCTTTCCTTCGCATGGACAATAGATCTGAGCATATCGCAGGAATAATCTATTTCTTGTAAGACCATGATCTTGTCTTGTACAGACGTAACTCTGATGAACCTGGTTGTGATGTAAAGTGTGATGTTTTCTGCCAAAGTCGTCAATTTTGCTGTCTTCTGGGTAGGCGTATAAACACCTTGTCACTTTAAGAATTAGTTTACCTCTAACTCATTTCGTTTTCTTAGATTGTCTCAGACGCTGTAAGTGACCAAATAATCTTCTATATCACTACCTTTACTTCCCTCCCCACTTTAGAAGGACCTCATCACAATAAACTGGACGTTTAACCATACGTACGTACTTTTACTTATTTTCACCTTTCTTACACATAAAGGTACAGCTGGTGCTGAGCTGATTCCTTAACCGCGTTGAATTAGGATAACTGTGATCATGATCTCTCGACTCGTCCTTAACCTACGCGCACAAGGCGAGCAACTGTCTCCGTGATTCCATGGACGTTTGAGAGTGGACAGGATTACGTCCGTCTAATGACTGCCTCATTTTCTCGGGCTGTAACAATTTCTATACACGTATACTGCGTTTCTCGCTTGGTACTGTTGGATGGACACGTTTTGCGGCGGTGGCGCATTTTGACACCTTTACGTTCCTATCAGCTATCTGAAACCCATGGAAGAAACTAGCTAAATGTATTTTATCTTGAACTATGTCCATGAGACATGGAATCTCATCCCATTTGTGTAATCTTCTAGTCAGATACTAAATCTGTATGTAGGCACTATATACTTTGTGTAAGTATTGCCTGAGAATCTTGTACAGTGAGATTGTTTTATTATAGATTCCATCATTATCAACTGGACATTTGACCATACATACGTACAGTCATTTCCTCGCTCCGGCAAATCTTAATGCCCGACGCCTCATCACACTTAAACTACAACAGCATCACAGTCGTAATGATATATTGCCCCTTCCTTAATATTCGCGCCGACAGCCATCTGACAGCCTACTCACCACCCTCAATACTGTCCAAAGTCACTGACGACACGTCAATTGTTTTGTCAAAAATAGTCATTTGCAGCCCAGAACGATAACCCCTTGAGAGAGGGAAAGCCAGAATCAGAAGTCTACATTGGTCACCAAGCGTTGTCATTGCATAACATCATAAATTACTTCTGCTCTTCTAAAGAAGCATAAAAGGTACCATTTCGGGGAAGGAAAGCCAGAAATTACAGTAAGTCATCAACAATGGCCCAGCAGACAGCAGACTCAAGCCAAAAGCATGTAAGGACAAGACAGTGAATGTTTGTACGATTTCAAGCTGTATCGAATAAACTTCAAATAACGATTCGGAGATCCTTGTCATCAATTTCTTCAGGAAAAGCCTCAGGTATGAATCCAAGCGAGAACGAAGTGGCTCGGCCTTTGATCCTAGTTCGGCAAGCCCTTGTCCTCGAGTCGCCCTTGTCAGATACTTCAGGAAATTGCAGGAGATCATCTTTAACTGGTGTGATGCATGGGGATAGGACAACCTCGCTGAGTTGTGACGCCAGTTGAGTCATCACGTCGGCATCGGCACTTTCATTGTCCTGATTCTCAGGGACTTGATTATCAGCCTTTGAAACTGTTTCACCACCGAGTTGCGTTTCTGGCTCTCCTGTCTCACATTTGCACCCTACTGATGCATCGTCCGCGTCAAATCGAAAGTGTAATTCAGATTCGTCGTCCAGAGAACGAAAGGGTCGAATAATCCGTGGAGCGCTCTGTCTAGGTAACGGCGTTGACTGAGATGCGATACTAGTACTTCGAAAGCTCGAGCGTTTCGTCGTGTTGAAAACATTAGACGAATAGCGATGACGTCGGTAAAAGTGTTGATTTGAACCAGAAGAAGAAATTTGAGAGCTGTGTTCAGAGCCGTTGCCAGGTGTACTTCCTCGTCTCCTCTTATTGATATTATAGACAATTGGGTTTGAACGTGAATGCTGCAGAGACAGAAACGAAGAGGCAAGGGAGAAAATAGCCGCTGGTTCGAAAGCCTTAGATCCGGGCTGAGCTACCGTTGATGTGCCACCTTCGTCTCGCATATTACTGCATGTTAAATCGCTTCTGTTCAGATTTGAAAATAAATAGGGCTCTTCGTATGACGTACAATGATCCAAAATCTGTAGTCAGCTGATTCAAGCGATCGGGTTCAGCTTTCCCAAGGAATAAATCCTGGAGCGGATCTACAGCACCAGCATTTCCAAGTTGCCGAGCACTCCGAGCAAGATTCTTGATTTCTCGAGCAAAAAAGCGCTCTCTAGCAGCAGTAGTATCCTGAGAGTTCCCAAGTAAGATTTTCTTCTTTCCTAACTTGTCTTTGCTAAGTGCGTGATAGTTGAGCTTCGAGTCACCGTTTCGCCTTGCGTCTGCATTTTCGTTTGGAAGAGGTTTTCGGGGCATGCTGTACACTTGTATTGATGAGATCCAGAGCAGAGAAAGTTCAAGTCCAAGAACCAGAGGGGTCTGTAATATTCTAAAAGTTTGCAAATAAACGAATTGTGTTTGCTGTAGGATGAAGATGATTTAGCAGGTGGCAAGACGCATTCGTTCAGTTTGTTTCAGCTTCCTTATCATGCACAAATATGCACGTGATAAAAACACATTTTCTCTTTTCTCAGGATTAATTGGAACGAACAAACATCATTATTTGATACCTTAGTTACTACCTTTGTTGATTGACGCTGAGCGACCTGTTTTATACGCCAACATAACATACGAGAGACAAGAAAGAATTATAAATACACATATTATGCAAGTATGATACTGCTACAACTGGACGCATACAAATGTTTCCGGTCTTTATTAAAGAGGGGCGTATGAGGGGAAAGGACTCAACTACGGAAGGCAATCCAATCAAGCAGTAAGCTAGTTATAAACTCTTCCAGTTCACACATTGAATCCCGCCCTATTCTCCCTGACCTGCACCCGTCCATGGTGTAGGCGTCTCCGGCAACGTATGCCCTCGCATATGAGAGTTCATCGAAGTCGTATCGTCAACCAAACCCTGACCCAGAAGCTGCAACTGCTGTCCACCAAGTCTCTGAGCAGCCTGAGTTCCAAATACTGTCGCTTCTTCCTCACCATCTCCGCCTATGCCAACGTCGTCATCAAGCGAGTCATCAAAACTATCGTCTACCTGAGCAAGGTGAATGTCGGCAGCCAGTTCAGCTTCAAGCGAGTCACTTGATCGATCTGAGTTGTCAAACGAATCGTCCATACGCCCCTGCTGGGCGGATGCTAACAAAAGTTCTCGAGCAGCAAGACTATCACCGAAAGAGTCGTCATCTGAGTCAAAATCCCCACTATCGTCTAACCTTGCGTCGTCCGGCAATGCTCTGAGATTGGGGTATGGCCTTCCAGGCGTATCATCAAGGGAGTCGAAGCTGCTATCTGGTGAACGCGTATCCTCAGGTTTTGCATAAGACTCTTGCGGTTTTAACCCATAGCGACGCATCATTTCTTCGATCGAAGGCCGTTCCTCTGTTGCACTTGCGTTCGAAGCTGCACTTGGAGCGTGCGATGAAGAACTCTTTTCAGAGCTTTCGATTCCCACCGCGCGTTTCGAATACCTGCTAAGGCTCGGTGTTGACAATGTATTGGATAGACTCGGGTCCAAGACCGCATTAAATTGGTGCTTGAGTTGCACACGCTCAGCATCGACAAGATCTCGTCCAATGCGCGCTGCTGCCTCCCGTACAGGTGTTCGTCCGATATTCGCTATACGCTTCGCGAATGCAGATCGAGGTGGGGACAAGTTGGGAGGTGGGAAGTTCTCTTCATCCGAGCTCCACTCTGGGTTGCGAGACGGAACACCACGGGGCGTCGCCGGCTTCGTCAGATCCACAATTCCATCCCAATCTACACGACGGATATCCGGTGGCACGTATGGATTCTTCTTTGGCGTTTTGTTCCTGGCTTTGAGTGGAGATGCAGACTTCTCCTTCTCTGGACCACGAGTATTCTTCGATAGTACATTTTGATAAAGAGATGGACCAGCTTTGGCTTTGCCCTTGTCCTTTTCTGGCGCTGTGAAGACAGGCCCACGAATAGAAGAGGACCCTGACGGAGCCGAGTGCTGCGTCGTATTAGACGCATGTCCGGTATAGTCAATGACGGGGTCTTGTTCCTCTCCCAGGCTTTTCAGACCTTTGTCCAAGCGCTTCAAAGGTGATTCTACAGATCGTGCCCACATGTCTTGATCTTCCTGCTGTTCCGCAGTTCGCTCATTCTGATGCACCATAGGAGTCGATGAAACGGCAGCACTCTCCGGTGCGAACGAGCTCTCGGATGGTGTTACGTTCGGATCGAATACGCCAGAACGCATAGGTTTTTCGCGTGTTCGTTCTTGCTCTTGCTCCTGTTCCACCCCCACTTCTGCTTCCGCTTCTCCATCGGACCCTGCAGCTTGTTGCACGACTTCGCCACTAATATCGTCCGACGTCGGTATACGCACTTGTGCAGCTTGTTCGTAGAACGACACCCAGAACTGAAAGGAACGAAGGCGATGACGACGATGATTAAACGCGATTGTTTAGAACGTATTGATATTAAAGACGCTCGAAAGGCACGTACCCGAGCTGCTTCCCTCACAGGCTCCGTGTTCACCGCATATCGTTTCACAGCCGGTAAGATCCTCGTCGACAAAATCTGGTGCGCACGGGCAAAGTTCGCGTCAATATTCTAGTCGATCCGGGGAATAAATCAACGAAGAACAAATCTCCCAGCATACATAAAGGAAATGCTCACCTGCAACCTGATCGTAATAAGCTGCTCAATCTGTTCGATCTGGTCTTGGACCGGAGCGGAATTATCGAGACCCGGCACTTCAATGCTTGACGGTATTGGATTTGGTTCCCAGGGCTCTGAAGGAGGCTCAATCGGTGGTAATGTGTCTTGTTCAGCGGCCATGATCATGAATCGCGAATGTGTCTTTATGAGTTGAGACGACGCGTGAACGACACTCGTTTGTGTACGTGACGCGTTGTTTATGCTTGATTGGTCGTCTCGGATATTGCCGTTTACTTAGAATGATTGTTTATTTTTATTTTTATCTCAAGGAATGCATACACAAAAGTGCTGTAAAACATTGATCGTGCGATAATTACAAGCATATCCACCTTGACCTCTAAAAACACCAAATGCATTCAGGGCATTATTATTGTACACAGAAAGCACATCGACAAGTTATCAACAGCGAGAAAGAAAGCACAGCAGATGCAGATCCGACAAAGCAAGCAAAATTGACTATCATAACATGCAACAATGCGGGAGAGAAAAGAAAGTGGGAAAAGAAGGCACAAAGCTCTTCAGAACAGTCCTTGTTTCTATATGCAACCGCTCCACGTCCCAAAATTCCACCATCCTGACTCCATCACTACTTCCTCCATCCACGACTAAACTTACGCACGTACGACATAGGAGCTCCCATATTCGCTCGCCCTAGGGTTATTGTTCCTCACCCAATGTCCATGTGCAGGCTCGTGCCACGAGCTATTCGTCACAGCATACAACAACGTCGTCAGCATCAACAAACACAACATGATCCATCCCATCCACGCAAACGCCAGCATCGCAGTCAGCACGCGGCATGCTTGAAATTGTGAACAGAAGGCAGGGAGGTTCGGCCATATGTGCTAAAAGGAAAGAAAGGGTGTCATTGGTTTGTTTGAAGCCGCGGCGAGTGAGAGTGATAAAAGGACATATACATACAGTCGCAATCGCCGCTCCGACAAGCCAAAGAACCCAAAGGACGAACAACCCGAGAAGTTCATGCCACACCTTCGACAAATACCTATACTCGCGGCGTCCATGGATCATGTGCGCTCTAATTCAATAAATATAAACATGTAAAATCCGATCAATCCGCGCCAAGTTAATTCATATCCCATTCAATTCCAAGCAATCGGTCAGCCATCTCATCTCGACTCTTCACAGAACGTCATAAGCCAAGAATAGGTACTTACACGAGGGGAGCCCAGAGGAGTGCGAGGATGGCGCACGCCATTAGTTCTGCGACGATGGGGTCTACAATTTGAATGGCACAGGGCTCAGGAAGGTCTCGCCCCAGAAACTAAGAAGGTCTAGTAAGCTTACCATAGAAGTGCCGTCCTTGGTTTAGAGGGTCCCCTGGAGGCAGGTGCGTCGTGTAGTGGATCCGGGTAGCGGTGAGGCCGAGCAAGACGGCGGAGAACAACCACTAATAATTCATCGAACGCACACATAAACGCATGCGAGAAAGGTTATCAAGTCAGTAAAGTCGAGATATCTCGAAGAGCACCATCGATCAATTATGAATACAAGTACTCACCAGCACAATGTACAAAAACCCACGAATCATCGGTAAGAGGAACATCTTGCCTCCTCAACCAGGGCAGTCAACAGTAGCAGACAGAGAAGGATTTTTAACTCAAGCCCGTCACAGCCAGGTGCAAGGTAGACAAAGGGATTCACTAGTAGCGCAATATCAAAGTGCAAGCAAGTGATGACGAGGACGAAGAGAAAGGGAAGGAATGGAACACCAGTCAATCGCGAGATCCTTATAATAAGTATCCACCGAACACACACGAGTCAGTCAGTCACCAGCCCGCAACGCACGCAGATGCAGTCTGGAGGCCATGAGGCAGAACGTGGGTTTAGCCATATTAATAGGCACAGTTACGGTTACCGTTATGGTCGGTACCCATGAACAATCGAACGGACTGCGCACAGCACCGGAGTTCATAAGATCCATCCAGAAACCAAGAGAGAAAAGTTCCTATCCGCACCCCCGATTTCAACTGATCTCACATCTAATATTCTCAATACAACTCCCGAGAGCCAGTTCACCTGAGATAGAAACGGGGACTTGATCGACTTGATTATGGGTATATGAACCGAGCTCGGGTTCCTGAGGCCGGTGCATTTCCAGACAAAAAACATAGAAACAAACGGAAGTAAAGTGTGAAAAACATCAAAAGAATATTCCATCACGTGTGGGACGTAGACAACCGTCAACACATTACAATTTGTCACACCACTCTCCAACCGTGAATGGTCCGCGTAGATGAAAACCTCGTGCACTTAACACGTTTCCTACCACATCAGTCCATGCATATCAAGAGTTGTTCAACGACCCCCAAATCTCAGTGTTCCATTTCTAATGCTATCTCACTTTGATCAAACCCATCCAGGTTTACCCGAAATAGACTTGCGTTGCGAAACTCTAACTTAAGAGTTACCGCGGCGGGATTGAATTACGATACACGCGATGGTTTTTCGTTGCGAGTGTGAATGGCATTCGTTGAGCAATTTATTAAGTATGACCCATTACAACAAAAACATGCTGCGGATATCGGTTGAAGCAGAACAACAATAATGACTGTGTGACGCTCTTATGAAAAGAACCAAACTAAAACAAAGCAGTACAGACAAACAACGACTGTACACTGGGATATACAAATACCATGCAAAAGAGATGCAGAGAGAACTGAATGTCACAAATGCGAAGTCTACAAACCAAAAGAAAATAAGAAAGGACAAAGGAACCAGGAGCGATGAGTAGGGAACTACAAAAACAGAGAAAAAAATAATATAGACAAGAATAAGTAATGCAAGGATAGTTATGCGTAATGAACGAGTGATTGGTTGAGTTGAGGGAGTAGTCATGTAGCAGCCCGTCGTGCGAGCAAGGAACCTGGTTCAAATGGTCCATTTACATCCGTTACTCCGGGTACTTTAGGCTGTGTTAGAGTGACATATGTCTGCGCAGGCTTTTTGCGAGTACCGGAACGCGTGAGTCCCCCACTCGAACTGAGAGTGGAGCTGGTGCCTTCGCTTGACATTTTGTTCCTGAACAACACATTCTTCTCCTGATAGAGGATATACGATCGCGCGAGCCAAATAGCCTCTACCCACGCCATCCCCGTATCCTCAGGAACAGAGAACACATGCAGATAGTCCGCCTTGTTCTCGAAAAGCGTGATTGGGTCGGTGGATTTCACGGCAAACGTGAAGCTTTTCGTTGCTTTATGGATCCGCGTGACGATGTATGCATCAAACGCTGATAGTGAACACAGGAATTCATCGTCTTTGCCCTATATAATACGTCATTAGCGGAAGTATATCAGAATGTAGTGAATAAAAGCGTACCTCGCGTTTGGAAACCCAAAGGCCGTGTTCACGCAGCTCAAGCCAACGCTTGTTCCATTTGCCCTTCTTGCTCTCATAATCAACGAAACCACTCCGCGTAGGGATGCTTGAAGGGATAGTCTAATAGGACGTAAGCACGCAGATAATCGTATCTTAATTAGGCGATACTCACAGCAAGGGAGTGCGCAAAGGGTGATTGCTTAACCATAAAACAGTTCATCGTCTTCTCCTTATTCCACGACCCAGATATATCAGTGACGAGCTCAAAGCTCCTCACAGGTCGCTCTAAACATAGTATCATACGAAATCAGTATATTAGGTAAACGGCAACGCAGTGCATATATGTACTCACCCATGCCAAAATCATGACACACTTCATACAGCATCCAGTTATTTAACCGGCGGTCCTCTCCACGGAGGTCCCCCTGCTGCTTCAGCATGTCAAGCACATCTCTTGCACTCGTCTCAAGCCCAGCCTCAACGACATTAAATCGCTGCATATCACCGATATACACGCGCATCTGTACGACGTGTCGATGTGACCGAGCAGGTGGAGATGGTCCTCTCGATACTGCGGGAACAGGGGGCACATGATGAGATTGCACACGAGGATGAGGGGAACGTAGGGCCTCCGCTTCTTCCGCATTTGTCTTGTCAATAGACGGTCGGGTACCCCTGAGTGACTTATTGCGCATAAGACCATCTGGCACGGTATTTGCCTCTTGACTAGGTCGTCCTCTTGAAGAGGTCGGACGGCGTGCCACGGTTGCAGAGGCCATCGGAGCCGATGTAGTAGCAGCGCCTGCCACAGGGGTTAAATTATGGAGTGAACGCATAGGTCGCAGGGTATGAGCAGGTGGAGCAGAAGGACCAGGAGTGTTAGGAAGAGTCTGATGAGCGGTAGGTAGCATAATATCTTGACCAGGAACCGGTTTTCGACGTGACATCGCCTCTGCTGGAGTCGCGTCCCGCACATGAGAGCTTTGCTGCTGGAGATGCCCAGCCGCCGATCCAGATATTCGTTGCGTAGGCAGGGGCGCATCAGTATCGCGCGCCTGTACTTTCAGCAAGCGCTTCATCAGATCTTCTGGCGGGATACCAGCATCCGCACCGCTGAGTGTTTTTGCCCTTTGGCGGCGCGGAATCTGCTGGACGTGCTGCGGTTGGGTCATACGTTGTGCAATGATCGCCGCTTCCTGGCTGCTCGATAACGTTGCAGCGGCAGCACCGAGAGGTGCGGTCCTTGGCAGTCGAGCTATAAGCGAGCGACCTCGGTCGTCCTGGTTGACGGAAGGCACATGCTGTGGGGGAGGGGAGATTGTTCCCTCAGGTGCGCGTGACGTGCGCGGCGTAGGCGCCACGGAGCGATCTCGTCGTCTTCGGTCTCGCTCACTCCTTACCTGCTGTCGAATCGTTTGCTGCGCGTGCAACGCTCCCGGAATTCGCTGCGCAAGTGGTACATCATCGTCTTCAGCAGTCGGCGGTCGTCTTTGTTCGGAGGTATCAGCAGTGGTGGTGATTGTAGGGGGCCTGAAAACTCCCTTGCGGCCGTTTCGCAGTTGACTGAATATAGGTGATACAGGCTCTTCTTGCGAATTCGATGCTGCGGAAGGTGCGCGGACAGAAGGTATTTGTGGCGCAGCAGGTCTATGGACGATACCAGTCTCCTCCCCGTAGTCATCTGAGCTGGTCTCGCTCTCCGACTCTGACTCCTCTTCGCTCGATGATGGGGCCGAGACTGGCAACTTCCGATTCTGTCGCTCGCCGTCGCCGCCACGACTGTCATCTCGCCCACGTCGTCCTGTGTTAAGACCGCCTCTCCTGCCACCACTTTCATCACTGCCTGAACTGCCATATCTGCCACCAAATCCACTACTGTGCCCAGTATAACCACCCGCACCATCCCAATCTCTCCCTGATCCACCTCTGCCACTAGAGTATCCGTATCCGTTCGTGTGGGTACGAACAGTATTCAACGTTGAGCTATCATCAGCTCCAATTTCGGTATCTACTGACAGGGAAGGCGTCGTATCAATTTCCACCTCCGTAGGTTGTGTCGAAGGACGGACAGTCCCCGCCGAAGTACCGGGCTCGAAAAGACCCGCCGCCTCTAATACCGAGTCGTACGTCTTCCAACCTGTCACTTCTGGCTCGCTTTCAATAGTAGGCGCCACAGCATCTTGGCTAATATCAAGCACAAGCTCCTCATCGTCAAACTTCGCCTTACTCGGGCTCTCGTATTTGCTAGCTTTCCCCTCCAATTCAGCTTGCACAGCAACAGCATACGGGTTCCCGGTATACGCGCGTAAACCAAGCGAAACTTCCTCCGCACTCGGCGACTTACGTGCTTGAGCTTGGACGTGGGGTTCGAACTTTGTCCGTGTCGAGGAACGTGACTGCAAGGACAAACCGCTACTTTGACTCCCCTGTCTGCTACGCGCGTTAGCAAGAGCTCGTAGATCCATCGACGACTTGGACTGTAACGATGACATGCTAGACGATGGTACAGGCCCACGCCCAGAATCCACCGAACCAGCATTCGAACCATGCGCACGTCTCCCAACCAGCGAACCTGAATTCGAGCCTGATTGCGAGTTTGAATATGGAAGAGTGGTCGACAGCGAAACCGATGGCGAGTGTGCACGTGAAAACGAATGTGAGATATGCGAAACATTTCCAGAGCTACCAGACCGCATAGAAAATATTGATGTAAAAGTGGCGACAGACGCCTTCCTGCTCATCGAGCGTGATGACAAGGACGAATAATCGGTACCGCCATATCGTTCGCGCGAGTGTGCAGGTGTCAAGCGGAACACTGGGTCTTCTTCGGGGAGAGTGGATAATGGTGGCAGCATCGAGCTGTCGTCTTCCTCTTCCGCAGCGTATCCGTGTTCACCTTGATGCTCGTAATCGTAATCGTCAATGTAAAACTCGGAATAATCCTCCTCGTGAGACGGGGGTAAGGATAGATCCTCGGAGGACGAAGTGTACTGGACGTGTAGGTCGTCCTCACCGATGGGGTTAGGAGAGGGAGGCGGGGGTTCTGGACTTTCCTGTTCTGGAGTGGCGGCACTTGGGGAAGAGGCCAAGGACACTCGGGAGGGGGAGGATACGTCAATTGATGTGGCGAAGGTATCTCTGCACTCAGCTCGCGCCTCGATTTCTTGTGCAAAGGCAAGGTCGCCAAAGTTACCCAAATCAGAATCGGGACCCGTCTCTACTTCCGTCTCAATTTCCGGTTCACCTCCGCTGCGAGAGATCAGTGACGGGAACAATGGCGGCAACAATTCGGATGCCGATGACAATGAAGCGGCGTTCGTCAGATATGGCTGATCCTGTTCACGCGGAAGAACAGGGCTGTCCGCACGTACGTGGGTATGAGCAAGTGCGTCGGGCAATGCGGGATCGATCGCCAACGACTCCGGACGTTGATCCCCACGGAATCCAGGCGATGACGACAGTGAAATGCCGAAGTCCTCGACCGAGCTCTCAGGCGACAACGACGCAACGGAAGAGGCAGGAGACGCACAGCGTGGGGCAGCTAACGGATATGGTGTGAGAGCGCGTAAGACGTGTCTGGGGATTGCACTAGCACGACCAGGAATGGTTATTGCATTGGTACAATGCGCTAACGGTGAACTTGGCTCGGCCGCTGACAAGCGAGCTATGTTTTCACCATCGATGGAGTCGTCCGCAGGCCGACTAGGCTTAAGGGGCCCGTCTCCTCCGTTTAGAGACCCCGTCTCCTGATCAGCGCATGGTTCTTGGATATCGTCAATGTGTACCTTTTTTGCCTCCGAATCAAGTGCATCCCCCGAGCGCGTTGTGAACGTCGTTGTTGCGAGCGGAATTTCCCCATTCGCGTCGTTGACAGGTCCTGATGGTGAAGCCGATTGCTTCAAAACTGCGTTGATCGACGCGACTCCTTCCCCATCTGCAGCCACAGCGACACTTATGATGTTCACATCGTTGTCTTCGGCCTCATCATTCTCCCTTCTTTCTCCTTGGTCCTCAAAGCTCGGACGTGCTATTTGGGTTGTCCCACCATCAGCTTCGCTTATATTGATGTGAAGAGTGTGCTCGCTGGATGTATGCACTGCTTCTTCCGAGACGGACGGCTGCAATGTTGATGCATCAGCATCGTCATATGTTTCGCTAGCAGGAGCTTCATCTATTCTATGGATCAGCTCGGCTCTGGTGGTGGCATCCGAAGTTGGAGTATAGCCAAGAAGAACTAGAACAAGTTCAATCAGAGACGCGTCTGCGAATGACAACATAACATAAATCATACCAGGGGTTTCTTCAGAAGTGGAATCTCCACTAATGCGCCCTGTTCCGATAACTCTCTCACTATCTACAACTTCCTTCTCCTCTTGTTCTTCTGCAACTTTCGATGCTATGCTACTGTTGAGGATTTCCATCTCGCCATCTAACTGTTGCTCCTCTACTTCTTGCAACTTCCCAACCTCCTCTTCAATACCACATTCAGATTCGGGTTCGGGAGTAGGTAGGTCCCAAGGTTCCGCAGGCAAGCCCGCACCAACTCTTCCGCTACGTCTCCCACGGAATGAGCTTGCAAGTCCCCCTGCTGTGGTGCTCATACGCGAAAGCGACTTCAAAGAAGGTAATGAGGGTCTTGCAGAGAAAGCTGGCCGTGTATGCGCTGGCCGTGTGCGGGATGGAGGTGGGTGAGGTAATGGAGAGACCACCGACGGGGTATGTGTGGGTGAAAGTGGAGACGGCGATGGCGATGGACTTGGCAACTGGGCAGTCGTGGACGGTGCAATAGACGTTAACAAACTGGCGGAGAGCGAGCGCAAGATGCGCTCTCTTGGTTTTGGCGCTTCATTCGAGGGACTGGTAGGCGATGAATTTGGATTAAGTGGAGATGGAGGAGGCGGCGGCCCAGCAGGAATAGTTAATGTCGAAGTCGAAGCGGCAGAAACGTTCGATACCACCATGGTCGATGACGGCCCTTCCCTTTCCCTCATCTCCGATTCCACGCCGAATGAGGACAAAATGGGTGTTCCTGGCATGCTCGAGCTGCTTGCTGAGCTAAAGGAAACAGTCGACGAAGTACGGGAATGCGGAAGGGAATACGTTGGAGATTGCAGCGGCGTACTCAAGACAGAATGCGTTGGAGAATTGACCGGCGGTGGAATGGGAGCAGGTGCGAAGGGGTCATCATCAAGCAGGTAAGCGGACGGTGACTCCCGACCTCCAGGAGCAGCAGGCATCGGCGGTGCTGAGGCAGAACCCGTAGCCGAATTATTTCCCCCCACAAACGTGCTCGAGCGCCTTCGCCCGTAGAAAGACCGTCTTCTTTCACTCCTTGAGCCTTCGTTCCCATTACCAGCGGCACCCGAGCTTACGCCTAAGCTATTATTGGCACCAGACGCGACGCCTTGCGACGGCACCGGACTTGCTGGAACACGCGGTCCAGGAAGGAGGCCGACTGGCGTCGTCTGCGGCTGGAGAAACGAAGATATGATGGTCTGCAATGAGCGGCGCTCCTTCACCATCCTCTGGAGGCCACGATATTTCCCACCAGAGACGACGCTCCGCGATCGAGAACGTGTCTTCTTTGTCGACGATGGCGATGGTAGCGATACAGTCGACTGCGAAGCAGATACGGGCGTCGCGCTGGACGCGTCTGGTGAATGCGGAGGCTGCCAATGAGCGGTGATTAGCATCAATATCACTGTCAGATCGACGTTCACTGCCGTGATTTTCACAAGTGCACGATCTTTTCTCAGCGCGTGTCATGGAACACTAGCAGCGCCGCTGCCCAACAGCCCAACGCCAAAAGGCTAATCTCTTTGGCGTATTGCACTGTCAGGCACACGACACGCTTGTTTCGCGTCGCTGGACGCGTCTATGCGCGCATCCGACATTTTCGCCGAAAATAAAATGACGAAAGAAAAAGAAAAAAATAGACCTTGGGAAAGAGAACTCACGGAGAAGTAGCCAGCACTGACACCTAGGTGTTCTGAGGGAATATGCGTGGCAGCGGTTGCGCTGTATGGTAATCCAGCTGATTGTGACGCGATGTGCCACTCGCTCTGCAGGCCCGCGTACTTGGGTATGGCGAGCGAGAGCGGCGGCGGAGGGGGCGCACGCTGTTTCGCGGGAGGAATAGGTGCAGGCGTAACCTGAGCGTGGGCTATTATTTCAGTTGTGACTTCTTGAGGCAGCTGGTTGTCGATGGCGTCAAGACGGCCGTCAGGAAGCACAGAGACCTGTCGTGCCTCTGTATCACTTTTGAGATTAGTGAATTCCAAATTGTGCAGAGTCGGAAGCGGCGCGAGGGCGTCTGGGTGATCTTGGATGGAGGAGAGAGATGCAGGGTGGGAGCCTGTTTCGGCGGGAAGGTGTTCTGAATTGACCATCATCATGTTAGATATAAATTCGCGGAAGATGTAATCAACCCAGCCAGAGCAATGTGAGTGCGCGTCTGCCGTAATATTACAGCTGCCGGAGGGACCGCAGTCCGGTTGCGGGTGTCGGCCAGTGCGGTGTGGAAAGAGGAAGGAGCTGGGCGACAACGCGGCAGAGCGGTGCGGAGGATGGCGGTCGAACGAAGAATGGATTCGAGTGTCGACTTTCGAGAAATGGAGTGACGTTCGCTAATACTGTACTAGTCCCGTGTTCTCACTTCCTTTCCTCACACTAAATATGCTTTTTATTTCCAGACCTTTCCTCTCTAGCATCGACAGCCAGTTCAACCCAGTAAATATTGTTATTCCTGAGAGAGCCTCGTCTCTACGCACTTTATGCGCCATGAGCGCATATCTGTCAACAACGTCAAAACAACCGGATTTACTAGCCAGCGTCTCCACTTTCAACTTTTTACACACACCCTTGAAGCATGGCAACAAAACGCCAGTGCCTCATGGTTATCATATCCTTCGCTTCACTTTTTCTTCTCATCTTCTTCATGTTTGTCAAACACTCTCGGTTCGTTCTCTTCACGTATATTATTTGCGTTGACTCAGCCCAAAACGAAAATTTGTTTGGGGTTGATGATGCAGATCACGTGCATCGCTCACTCATGTGAGCGAATTTTTCCAGGGGGCGCGATATATCGATTCCTTCAATCTTGAGGGTTTCTTCCGGTTCGAAAACCCTCATTCGCCATTCTTTCGTCTCTTGCCCTCCCATTGCTTATGGGGTTTACGGTCCTCCTTCCGACACAGACGGCTGCGGCGGATCCCATTCCACTCTTCTTACTCGTCTTTCTTCTTTTCTTCATTTCCCACAACAAGAAACACGAGTTGAGACTGAGATAACAAAGGGGAGATTGCACGGCTTTTAAAACCCAAATCTCACCATTTATCGGGACGACGGGGTCAATCATCAATCTTGATGATGATTGGCACGCGTATGTAATTCCGGGGGGTGTCCCTTGACGACAGTGCAGGGTACCAGTATCACTGCCTAGACGCTGAGACACTCACCATTCGCTTTTTCTCACACTCTCAGGAAGAGGATGCTGAGAACAGACCCTGTCTTCTATCCTATCCCTTTCGTCAAGAGTATACGTGATATGCGTATTCTTAGACCTTCTATGAGTAATATGAGTAAATCTCACGACTTCACTCCTCGCGGATGTCCGTGTCTAGTAATAGCAGCAACGTACCTGGGTACCTAGCTTCAATGCTTGGCCCTGGACACATCGTTAGGCACACTCTCCTCGATCAACTCGACTCATATAAGCTCATATAACTCATATACAGTCCAATACATAAATTTATAACTGTTGACCGACGGATGGCCGTCCTGACGATCGAACGCCCGTCTATTTCCCGAGGACAGCATGGTACAGATACATGATACATACCTGATACATACCTGATACAACCGATATAGTTTTATTATTACTTCCGTTGGGCGTGAGGTATCAAGGAATATCGGTGTAATGTCCGCTACCTGAGGAGCTTACGCGGTCATACCACACTTTTCATCATACAAATACAAGCACACTACCACAGCCTCCCCGTCGGTACATACAAAATATACAACAACTTACTGGACTTACGGACATAACAAGGGTTCTCTTATTCTTTTCCCGTTCTTCCCTTCCGGTCCATCTCGTCGTTGGGCATATGGACATATGGACGCATGGACGTATGGACACATCTTCTTGACTTCCCTGCGGCGTCCTTACGAGCGCGCGCGCCCGCGACACTTTCATTTCCGTTTTGTTCTGAGGCTGAGTGTTGATTCTCGGGTTTCACCGGGCCTCGGTGATAGGACGTAGGAATCTAGGATAGTCGGAAGAAGCCTTGCCTGAGTGGCCTGAGTGGGTGGTGTTATTGGATCAGTGGATGCTCGACGTCTCCGGAATAGGCTTGTTTCCTACGGCTACCTGCTTCTGGATAACACTGCTGTATTTCTCTTTCTTTCTTCCTTTTTTTATAAGGTATGCTGGGAGAATTCTCCAACTTCCAACAGAACTTGAACGTAAGCAGAATCCAAGAACTCAACCCACCAAACTCCTCTCAACCAAACGTAAGATTCACACCAGCAGATACCCGCGAAAACACCAACTTGGGTACAGAACACACTCAATCTCCACCTAGATCCGGTGCTTACGTACGATACCATTTATTTACTGACGGATTTAAAATAAAATAAAAATTAGTTGATCGGTGGATCAGTGACACAGTCAATCCTCTCTGATCGTCGACAAAGATATGAAGATATGGTAGCAGATACGTACGTACATCTCGGGTATCTTGGACTAGGCTACTAGCGGGTGTTGGACGTCCTATCTCATTTCTAGATTGAATATTTTTTAAAAATGAGAGGATACTGTATAATGAAAAAGAAGCACGTCACAACGTCGTTCTGTATGCTTCGAAGAGACAGAGAAACTTGTATGGATGGACAATTCAGCTCCTTCCGATTCTGCAAACTAGTACTGGATCGAATACATACAGATGAATTCACCGGGCTCGAGTGGAGTGTTCCTCGAGTATTAATATTACTTCTGATTCGGAGTTCTGTTACTCGTCGCTAGGATACACGCCACATATGCATCTATACAGACGAACAACTCGGCGGATACAAACGAGTCCTTGTGTACTACCGGTCGAGCACTTCGCGGGATTATTCACGGTTCGAGCTGTTCATTTCTTATTCACCGTCTGGCCTTCTCAAATACCAAATTACTACAGTGTCCCCCTACTTGTTTTCCAGACATCCCCTCATTCTTACACCTCACAGCTAGCCATTCAATATTACTGTTAAAGACTAAACAGCTAGTCTCAGTAGTCCGTTGTCTTCCCGCTTAAGTGCGCTTCTCCCGTCGGAACAAAAGAACCCTTCGAGTCGACCAAATCAAACTGGGGCTGAAACGTTAATTAATAACCACTTTTCGGATTCCTCGAGTTTCTTCTTATTTCATTTGATTTTCTTTTTTATTACTTTGCCTCGAGATCATTCCGAACTCGGAATGTGCAAAAAGGTGTGTTATGATCCGAGTTATAATGTATTGATTGAGGTGTATTCTCAGATTTTGGGTTAGAGATGCTTGTTTGATTGATTGATTTTAACGACTTCGACAATACACGTCAAGAGACGGTTTGTGGTGTATGAGCTCGGTACAGAACCGAAAAGAAACGAGGAAAGTAAATGGGTAGAAAACTTCTCGTTGTGTATCATTCATTAAAACAGATTATAAAGTTAGTGAGTTAGAACCTCAATTTGAATACAGCTTGTATTATATTTTTTTTGATGCAATTGTGAAGCTGGTTTCCCTGATTATACAGCTGTGCTTTTATATCTCGGCTTTTATCTATGACGAATAGATACAGGCAAAGCACAAACAAATAACAAATGTTTCATACATGGATTAGCCATACATGCTAACCATGAAGCCCAATCATACCAGCTCAGAGATTCCTGTGTACGAGTTACAGCTATGACTAGCCTTAGTAACAAGGAGGACATACCTATTACTCCACAAGCTGAGCGACCTCCCGCATTGCCTGTTTTAAGACTCTCATCGTTGCCGCCTCTTCCAAGATCATCCGTGCCCTAGGTCGTACACATAGGTAAGTATGCAAGAACAAAAACATACATGGATTTTATAAAATTGGCCATTTCAACAGGATTTTCCGGAGTGTGGAATGGCAAAGGTCTTGGAAGTGACGTACAGCATGTACGACTACACTACGTCCAACAATACTGAACGGGCCGTTGAGTGTAAGTAACTTGTCCGAGAACGTGAAGCTGGCGACTCCTGATCCATTGCTCTCGATGTTTCCAAGGTCTCCAATGTGTCTGTTAACATCAGTAGGAGCTCCATGCGTCTTGCCTAACGGGTTAAAATGAGCCCCGGCGGACATGCACCCATTCGTCCCATCACCGAGTTGGCTGAGCATTCAAACCACCATTAGACCAGGGTAATGCTCAGAACACATGAGAAACGGACTGTACGTGAAAACCACGCTTTGCATTTGGGTCGAGTCCTTTGACTTCACCAGAGATAATCACTGGTGCGAGTAGACCGGCTTGAGTGAACGTCACGATGCCGCTGACATCGGAGTCGCCACTAAGCATGACAACGGCCTGAAGCCTTGTCAGACAAAAAGAAAGATAAGGACAGTCGGTCTACGCACCTTCTTCACAGTGAAAGCACCATCAGGTCTGGAAGACGGTTCTGTGTACAGAAAGAGTCGCCAGACGAAGATGAGGACAGCAAATAAAGCAATGAGTGTGCAGACAGTTGCTCGGCTCTTAGGGTACTGCTGGCCACTGAGACTTATTTTACTATTGTTCATGGTGATGGGAGTCCTAAGAGTAGTCATCGGCGAGACATTTACGCGATGAATCCGGGGACGGAGTTCGCATGGCTTATTATATACGAGACTGTATGAGAAGGTGGGAATGACGCACGCGTAATATTGAAACGCGCTTCACGTAAGCAGATCCCGTGACAGACACGCTCTCTTCCACTTCACTGTCACTTGTCTCCGTCCATCGCTATCTCTATTGCTTCTTCTCGACCCTTGCTTCATAGTTCTATCGCTATTGCATTGGGAAAGAGGCGGAACGATGACGACACAGTTCGACAACATCTATCATGACTTGGAGCCACAGCTAGGCAGTAAGTCGCGCCGTAACAATCTGACAACCGGAGTCTCATAATCATGTATAGAATTTCGTATGGCTGCGAGTGGTATGGCGTGGATGAACAACGAGACGAGAGAAGTCGTATCCGTACCCGCAGCTGAAATAAAATGGGCTTCATGGATGCGTGTTGCCCGAAATTTCCGTCTTCGTATTGGCTTGAAGGAGAAGGGTAGACGCGAAAACTTCGATGGGTTCATGCGTGACGTTAGTACTATTTTTTCTCAATAATAAAGTTGGTGTTTTTGTGTTCAACACCTATCGTAGGACCATGACAAATTAACGGGCCTTATGAAACAACATTACGGGATCATCCTGGAGAATAAGGAGATTTCGTTCAAAGGTTGGAATTGGGGAGCGACAGATTTCCAAGGTAAGAAAATTTTGCAAAGCTGATACCGATTACATGTACTGATGACTTCTACCCAGGCCAAGATCTAGCGTTCCTAGTATCCAACAAGACAGCCTTCGAGTTACCGCTGCAGAAAGTTGCAAATTCGAATATTGCCGGGCGAACGGAGGTCTCGCTAGAGTTTGCCACGTCTGCAGGGCGCCCAAGTAGAGGTGCAGGTGATGAACTGGTGGAGATCCGGTTCTATGTACCTGGTACCCAGATAAAGGATATTGGGTCAGATGCTGGAGAAGAACAGGTAGAAGATGAAGAGGAGACAAGCGCGGCACAGGCGTTCCATGATGCAGTTAAAGAGAAGGCAGAGCTCGGAGAAGTTACGGGCAACGTTATCGTCAACTTTGAGGAAGTGTTGGTTTTGACTCCTCGTGGCCGATACGATGTGGATATGTTCCCTGAGTTCTTGCGCCTTCGTGGAAAGACGTACGACTACAAGATAAACTACGACGGGATTTCGAAACTCTTCCTCTTGCCAAAAGATGATCAACATGTGTTGTTCATTGTAAGTTCGCTTTTCTTCAATTATAAACTCGAAATAGTTTCTAAAGGTTTCAACAGCTAAGCCTAGTCAATCCGATTCGTCAAGGTCAAACTCGATACCACTTCCTGGTCATGCAGTTCGACCGAGAGGAAGAGATCAGAGCTGAACTCAACATTGAAGAGTTTGTAGTATCCTTCCTTGTCGTTTACCCTTGTTCTGACTTTCTCTTAGGGAGGAACTTGCAAAATACGAAAAACTACAAAAGCACTATGAAGCTTCGTCATTCGAAGTCATCTCGAGTATATTCCGTGCACTTTCCAAGAACAAGATTATTGGATCTGGTAGCTTCTCAAGGTACATAGTTGTCCCCCTACGATCAATCTTGTAGCTGATGTTTTTAACACAGTCGAACGGGACATCCTGGAATCAAGGCAAACCTTAAAGCTGTTCAAGGAGACCTTTTCATACTCGAGAAATACCTATTCTTCGTTGCTAAGGCACCTCTTCTCATCGAGCTCTCTGATATTCACCAAGTGAATTTCTCTCGGTACGTCTCAAGGCCCACATATTGACTTCAACAATTTGCTGATGTCTTCTTGTTTTCAGTGTTGGCGGACCCATGGCAACCTCACGTACCTTCGATCTCGTCGTGGTAACTAAATCCGGACCAGAACATACATTCTCGAGTCTCAACAAGGAAGAACACGAAGGTATCGAGGGTTACCTCAAGGGCAAGAAGTTACGGGTTAAGAACACAATGGCGGAAGACCTTGCACCGCCTGTGCTTGATGATGATGACGAAGATGAGGAGATGCAGAGTGTTGTTAGTAGTGGAGAGGAGGTGCCTCGGCCGCGGATTGGGGGTGAGGACGATGATAGCGAAGAGGGTGCGTCTTCTTGGGGTTTTTCTTCTCATTCTGACTTTGAATTTATTTGGACGTGTGTTTTGCTTTGCGCGCGCGCTTTTTAGACGAGGACTTCCATGCATCAGACTCAGACTCCGGCTCCCCGACCTCCGACTCTGACTCCGACTCAGAGGGCGCAGCGTCGGTCTCAGATGCAAGTGGTGATCGCGACATCGCACGAACGACTAAGAATAAGAAAAAGAAAAAGGCGGCAGGTGACAAGGAGAAGCCAAAGAAGAAAGCTAAGGCAAAGGCTAAGGCTAAGAGTGATGAGGAGGATGGGGATGCTGCTGCAATGAGTGTAGATGAAGATGAACCCAAGGCGAAGCCGCAGCCGAAACCGAGACCCAAGGCGAAGACGGTAGATGGGGAGGATGGGCCGGCGAAAAAGAAACAGAAGAAGGATTGATAGGACGTGCTCGTGCTGATTTTTTCTCTCTTCTTTATCGTAATTGTTTTCTCGTTGTCTTGCTTCATTGTATAACATTTTTGCACTTGTTCTTTGATGCTTGTTGCCTTACCTAAAGATATTCTAAATTTTACGGAAACCAAAATATGCTGAGTATGATTCTTTGAATCGTTTGGTGAAGCATGATAATATCATAGATGCATGGAATGATGAATACAAGGCATAGTGGGCATACTATCTTAGCACTAGCATTGCATTCCGGATGAGTACACAACATCTCCCCTCTTTGATCATTTTATGCAAAGACCAAGATCTACGAGGTACGTGCAGCTTCAATCCGCTTCCTCGCAACCTGTCGTCTGTTCAAACCAGCGAGCTTGCTGGGTACGACGTCCTTGTCCTTTGCACGTTCGACCTCATCGTCTGAAGCACCAAGGATGACCTCGATATGGCAAGGGTGGCCCTGGTAGGGGTTGATGCGACCGTGTGCACGGTACGTGCGACGGCGGGTTTTGGGTGCTTGTTGGACAACGATGTTTTTGATGAAGAGGTCTTCGGCGGAGAGTGATTTAGCATCTGCGTTTGACTCTGCGTTCTTCAGGAGGGCGGTGATGAAGCGGACAGACTTTGCAGGCCAGCGACCTTATTAAAGACCAACATCAATACAACTATCTTCGAATTTATTATCCATTGTCCATTGAAGCAGCTACACACCTTGGGTCGCCTTGAACTGCTTCGCCTGACTCGCACGTCCTACACCACCTGCAAAACGGCGGAACGGCACGACCTGCTTGTGTTCCACAACGTCACCAAGATACGTGTATGCTTTTTGGAGTTTCATTCCAGTAAGTACAGCTGCGACCTCGCGCATGTTCTTGAAGTGCGTTCGGAGGTACTCGCCGCGTGCGCGGGAGGCTGGACGAGCAGAACACAGACATAGTGTTAGAGTTATGTTCCACAGAACATTTATTGAAGAGATTTGAACGCACTTTTTTCGGGATTGGTCGCAAGCGCGGCGGAAGCGTAGCGTACTATGTAACCAATGAGTTCATGAAAAGTTGACCAGTGTGGCAGCAGCACTCACCCATTGTTTGACGTCTTGAGGCTGCTTTCTTTCGAAGCGGAGACGATGAGGAGTTAACTTTCTGAACGCGATGCGTGCTACTGTACAGGTCTTTCCATCTTTAGTATATTTGTCTCACAATACCTAACTTTCCATTTTAGGATTTGCCGTCTTGCGTTCTGTACCTCTAATAAACATCGCACTGTTCTTCCGGTGTCTAACAAATGATTTTACAAGCTTGCATTTTTTTTCGTACATCGTCTGTGTGCTTCAGCCAACATGTGCATTAGTGGGTGTGAGTCTCTGTGACGGCCCGACGGTCCTCGATTTCAGAGGCAAAACAATCATCTGACCTTGTCCTGGTTATATTGTACGATTGCTGCTGTCGTCAAGTGCAAGCTTGCCAGATATGAAGTCTTCTATATCTGTGAACTACAATGTGTGGTTTCCGGTCTTCTTCAGAGCCTCATCAGAAAATTCCTCCGTCATGAAATTGTTTTTGGTCTTGTCAGCTTTTCTACTGTATACTCGCTCGGTTCATTCGTGTTCACTGCAAGAACGGAACATTCAACCAGACTCTACTTCATTCGGAAAAGTGCTCTCAAATCCTAGTCTATCTTTCGACTGGGATGCGATTAAATACGTTTATGCGTTCGGTGACTCCTATACATTCGTTCAAGGCACACACGGTCTCGCGAACTTCAGGTATGCACTTAAAGAGGTCCAAAATCGTAACCATCTACTTTACTGAGGAAAATACGACAGCTTCATTGGAGACCTGCAGAACATCAGCTTCACCAAAGACGAACTGCTAAATGACGAAATAATATTCAGAAACGTGTGTCTTCTCTCTGTCACGTTAGTCCAGTTATTCATATCTCAAATACAAATAATGTAGACAAGCTCGGATGGAGCTAACTGGGTAACCGACTGTTCTGGCTTGTCAACTTGTCAAAGACTAAATTCTTTTCGCGTACTTATAGATTGAGTTCCTGACTGGATGCTTCAGTGGGAAACCAATCGATTGTTCTCCTCGTCAACTCTGGGACTTCGCTTTTGCAGGAGCAGATATTGATGGGAATCTGTCAGTCACCATCCATCAAACAAACCACCTCAATTCTCTGTCTGAAGACTTATGATTACTTTTGCATAGTCTTCCTTTACATCACCCATTCACCGTCCCATTAGTCGACCAAATGAAACAATGGGCCACCTACGCTGCCAGCTTTCTTCCTCGTCCAAAAAAAGACTCGCTTACAGTGTGGTGGATTGGGATAAACGATACTGGAGACTCGACAGGGAACGAAACTGTACGTTACATTTTCCCTTTCTTGGGTTTGTCGTATATTATATATGGAGATGAAATTGATATTGGAATAATTTAGATTACAGACTTTGATGCTTTCTATGCTAAGGAAATGGATTCGCTCTTTGAAGCTGTTGTACGTTCTCCTCCCTATTTCCCACCTCTCAAAGAACGATTCATTTACTTTATGTCGCATTTCCGGCGTCGAAAGGAACTTGCCCAATCGAAAGGCCTCACAGGCACTCACCTCTTCTTGACCGTCCCACCCGAAGAACGTTCACCATCCGGTCTCTACTCTTCCCACGCAGAAGAGCAAAAGTCAAACATCATCACTTATAACACACAACTCCACACTCGTGCTTCGCAATTCGCACAACGTCATCAAGATGAAGAGACAGTTGTACTCTTGTTTGATGCACATGAGTGGTTTAACTTTGTTCTAGATAATGCAGAGATGTTTGGGTTTGGGGATATTACTGGGTAAGTTACTAAGTGTGAGGGAAATAATCCAGTGTATGCATTTTTAAATCTTATTTTGCTATTATAGGTTCTGTGAATGTTCAGACTCGGATTTCTTCTGGTTCAGTACGTACTACAAAACACCCGTTTGTTTGTCATATACTCACTGACATCAAACTCTTTTCCTGGGCTGTTCTTTCTGTAAATGTAGATACAGGACACCCGACAGAACACACCCACCACCTCTTAGCTTCAGCAATCGACCATTTCCTCTCCAGTATCTCAACTTAATTGAGTGTATAGTAGAATTATGCATCAATCATTACTGTACTCAGAGTTGAAATCAATCAATAACTAAACTTAAAGTCGGAAAACTAAAATCTCACAAAAAGGAAAGGCTGAAATAAAACACCAATGCCGCTACTATCTTCACTAAGCTAAGCAGCCAGTGCAACATCTCCAAAAGCAGCAACCAGTAATGATAAAAGTATATAATATAGTATATACACCTGCAACAAAGAAAGACAGAAAGAAAGAAAAAATAATGATGGTGCTATTAGCTACCTAATTGCTAAGAAAAAAAAAACCGGGCAGGGAACAGATTACAGAAGCAGTAGCGACAATAATAATGAAAAAAACGGCGGATGGTGGTGGAAGCTTTATGAATATGACTGTAACTATGAATATGACATGAGAAGCTGGAGAAGCACCACATTTACTGTATTTCTCAAGCCTGTCATAACATGAAATGGAATGCAACACGTTCGGAGACATGACGGTACGAGTTGTCGGAAAAGATACGATATAGGTCAGGGGAGGAGGGGAAGAGTGAAGAATGACCAACGCCATATAATAAGTGAGAGGGAAAAAGAGGGAGAAAAAAATAAGTGAACAAAGGAATTCGAAAAAGGGAAGTAAAAATAACCGCAAGTCCTAAATTTAACGGAGAAAGGGCCTACATCCATATCCACCGATGCACCGACCAACTGAAACTCGTCACCAACAATACCACATTCCAGAAGTAACGGCAACAAACTCAGAAGAACATGTACGTCAAAATGAACACCACAAACGCAATGATACCTACAACCTGGGGCGATATACCCTCTTGCGATGCATTCGAGCTATCAACCATCGTTCCTAAATCTGTCTCGGATGCACTACGATCAGACAACACCGTCATATCATCCGACTTTTCTGACCGTACGCGCCGCTGGCGTAGCCCATTGTCATCCGCTCCCGGTTCTGGGATCGACTCAAGGAGATTACGCAGGCGATTGATCTCGGCTTGGGCTGCGGTTAGTTGAGCGCGGAGCTCGTCTTCGCTTGACATGGAAGGCTGGATTACGGGTGCGGGTGCGATTGCAGGAGGGATGCGCGATGTAGCCGGATGCTCTTCGACGTGTTCAGTGTCTTCCGGGACGGCGTAGTCACCGACAGCCGGCGAAAATGCACGCTCGAGTGGTACTTGCGGCTCAATGGGCAAGCCGACTTCCGGTCTCCCATTTGCGGCCTCGGGCTCCTGGCGAACGGTATCATAACGACTCTGCGAAGAGAATACACCTATGAGATCTCATAAAGTATGAGAAAATGGAAGGAGATATACCGAGTGGTCAACGAATGAGCCTGGACCTTCGTCTTCTTCGGGTAGCTCCTGACCCACTGGCGGCAAGTAAACGACCTTAATCTTCTGCGAGTGTACGTCCGACTCTTGGCCATCGATGTTATTCCACTAACAACGACAAGGCCCATATAAGTCAGCAAACAGACCACACTCAAACAATTAAAAATGAAAATTTAGACGTACGAGCTCTTGTAAAGGCATCGCCTCCTTTTCCTCCGTAATAATCGTACTCTGTACAAGGAACTTGTCTTTACATTTTGCATTCGCGGGAGGCTCTTCTTTCATCGCCTGAAGAAGTACTACAGAATGCCGTGAAAGGCGAGTGCATCAGATGACACACAATGACACATACAAGCCACGAGGAGACCGCACGTACCCTGCACTTGAACGCTCTGCCCAGGCTCTATCCGTCCGGAATTGGGACGCACGCAGTACAGCTAAGAAGTGCATTTATTTCACGCGAGTCAGAATGTAGTATAGCGAGTGAGTGAAAGAAGAAGAAGAAATGAGAAAGGGATACCTTGGGCGCTGTTGTCTTGACTTTAAACGCGACTGGTTGCTCATTGGGGTTCTTTACTGTGAGAACACGTTTCACGAGTTGTGTCAACGGCCCTGTCGAAGAAACGATAAGCAAATTTGCAATAATGAGAAGATGACGAGGGAGACGTACTGTTGAAGCCTAGCGATGAGGATGGTTCGAGGAAGACAGACATTTGTATGAGGAGGTGGTGGTGAAGGAGCAACTGAACTGGGCCTGGCTCACTCCTCTGACGAACACGCTTTGACGAGGTTGCCGAATAAGGAAAGCGTCTATCGCTCCGTTTTAGCCGAGCGAAAGGCCAGCTCATCCCGCTTTTCATACATCATTCCAATTTCATCACTCGTCTTCATAAGCAAACGTGATATTCTTTTCCTTTTAGATAGATAATTCTCATGTACAGTTTGTCAGGACAATCGGTGCTTCTCATGATTATCTGTCTGCCAAATGTAGGTCCAGCGGGAGATCTTCAGTTCTCTTTCAATCCACACAATCCCCACCTTTCAACAAAGATAGTTACTAGGATATTAGCGATTCAGTCTACGGAATCAATTTGACACGATTCTCGGAGGGTTGCAACGGACATGCTGCATAGGTGCATCAGCGGCGTGTTTTCTCACGTGTAAACAGCACTTCTTGATTTCATGCTCCTTATATCCAGACAACTAGTATTCAGCATTAGAGTACGACAGGCGTGATTTTTTTCAAGTGAGAATATTAAATCCAATCTGTACGCGACTATATCTGTGGGTTTCCTTTGAAAGCAAGAATACTAGGAGCAATGAAGGTAAACGAGTGAAGCAGCGATTAATCTAACGAAGGTGTGTATGATGCGTGGACGAAACGACGAATGACGTATGCAGAACATGAGTGGAGATCCGGGTATAGACCAGTGATAACCAAAGCGAAACACAAAAAGGGATATAGATTTGATTTATGGGCTGACATTCATGTTGGTGCCATTGTAAGAGAAGCCTAGTGGAGGACTTGAGACACAGATACGAAGGAAGAACAACCAAGCCATGCTTACCTGCGAACTGCTCCTGGACAGTCTGTGAAAGCTTCGAACCTTCCACAACACTATCGAGCGGCTCCTCAGAGGTGAACACCTCGTCAAAATTGGACACATCCTATCATTTGGAGAACATACTTTTAGTATTGTCTTCCAAACTATGAAAAGGAGAGAAACGTACCACAGCACTTGCGACCTTAGGCTTGAACGGCGGCTGGATCTTCTTTGCAAGCAGCTTCGCAAAGTCGATATGCTTGTCGAAGAAAGGATGACGTTTGATTTCCTCCGCGCCATTGACGCCGAGACGTCTGCTTGGTTCACGCGAAAGTAGACCAGTGAGGACACTACGGGCCTCAGGACCGATGACATCGCTGAACACCAGTGGGTCATTCACGATTTTCTTGTACATGATATCCGGAGTTTCTAAAATGCGACATCAGCGGATTTCGAATCAGGCATATATGCTGGTCACCACTTACCACTGTAGAAGGGTGGAAGGCCAGACAACATTTCATACAAGAGCACGCCAAGTGTCCACCAGTCGATGGTGCGGTCTGGTATATTGCCATTAGCTTATAGTCAGATAGCAGGCAATCGAGCAACTCACTGTAGCCACTTCCGTTCAACACTTCAGGTGCAAGATATTCCGGCGTTCCACAGAATGTGTTCGTCGTGTCTTTGTCCTTCATGTTGAGCTTGCACAGACCAAAGTCACATAAGGCAATATGGCCCGTATAGTCCAGAAGGATGTTTTCTGGTTTGAGATCGCTAGAATGCAGTTAGCAATATTGTCGATTTGATCTCCCTGTTTTACTAACCGGTAGACGACGTCAAGCTCATGAAGCTGTTCAAGGGCTAAAAGCAGTTCGGCGGAGTAGAATCGGCTCCGTTCTTCGTTGAAGCGTTGCTCCTGCTGGAGATGATGGAACAGCTCTCCACCATTGACGAACCTGCGATGCATTTAGTACCTAAATACTCAGAGTAACAGCCTACTAACGCAAGAACGAGATAAAGCTTTTGTTCCGATTGGAAGCTAAACTTCAAGGGCACGATGAATGGATTATTGACACGTGCTAAAACAAGCCTCTCCGCAAGTGTATGCGTAATCTCATTTCGCGACGCAATATGCGCTTTGCGGATTGTCTTCAAAGCATAAATTCGTTGCGTATCACGCTTTCGAACTTGCATGACTTTCCCAAAGCTTCCCTTTCCAATGACCTTGAGAAGTTCGAACGAATCAATCGTCAGAGATTGACCCTGTTGCGCAGATCAAAGTAAAAAGGTTAAATAATATGAAACGCGAAACATACACATGAGAAACGAGAGATAGACATACGGTGCTCGGCGTGAACGCGACGCCAATCTGGATCTTCCCCGATCCGCCTGCTAGGGTGTACCATTCATTTTCCGGACTTAGGTTGTCAAAGTCCGGAGTGAATTTGATTCCGCCCATGAAGATATCGTTGCCCATATCGTCGCCTTCTGCACCTCGTTTGGGTCTCTCTGTCCGTAAATAGCATTGTATCGAGATTTCTGAGATCCGTGACACGTCGCTGTGAAGGAAGATTAGATTGAATTTTCGTCTAAGGAAGATGAAAAAAATTGATGAGTGCTTACAAGTGAGTTTGGTACATGTAAACTGGCGACTCGATGTTTCCTCCCAAAGGTGTAATGAGCACCTGGTTTACATCGAACTCCATGACAAGATACGGAAGCCACCAGCATTGCACCCTCTGCAGACTATCGCGGTTGCTCCTTCCTCTATTAGCTAAACGCTGCTGCGTCACACTTGACGGGGACACGGACGCAGCAACCTTAGCTTCTGCACTATCCAGCGCTGACTGCACGGCAGACGGCACAGAAGTCCCAGAGGGCAGAGCAAAGCCCTCTGCGGACGTAACGCGGATGGTCAACATACCCGAAGTACGCTGTGGTGGCTCGCCATTCGGGTTACCAGGCGTCGGCGTGGTCGACCGACCCATCTCGGCGTCCGCAGCGAGAGCATTAGAGGACGGCTTCGGGGACTTCTTGCCTAGCTTCCAAGATATGGTAGTCATGGTTGTAGTCTTAGATGTGGGTGATGATGATTAAAGCGAGACCTGCTCGAACGATGATGAGAATGAGAGTAAAAAAAGGGAGCGTGGTGAGTACGTGGTAGGAGTAGTAAGCGGCAAAGGTCTTTTTGACGTACAATTATTATTTGCTTGCTTGAATAATGATTCATTTTTGTGTCGATCTAGACGCGCATATATATAAATACGGATCCCGTCGGGCCAGCTTCCTTCCTTTGAATACTTATTCACTTCATTTTCTCTGCCTCCGACTCGTACGGCCGCTCTCTGCGCGCCATTACTCTCCCGAAATTTTCTAGGCAGTGTCTGGTTTTGTACTATAGTATGAACTCTGAAGTGAATGGAATCACTCTTGAAGACCTCATCCAGCGAGTAAACAAGCTTCTGCGGTTCCCGAAGTCTTCCCCCGCAAGAAGAGAATTCGCTGCGAATCTCTCCATCGTGGCACTCGGGATAAGGTAACACCATCAACAGAAATACGCAATAAAGCTTATTATTGACCGATGTCATGGTCGTAGAGTGGCGTATCTTATTGACACATTCTCTCCAGATGAAGGAGAAATTACCTTACAACGATTATTAACTTCTCTGCGTCAGGTATATTTAACTACGTCTCATTCTATTCAATTAAGTTGTCATGTTCAAATTTCTAATATCGTCAAGGAATCTTCATGTTTCAGAAACGTCCGTGTCATATATGCAGCAGAGCCTCAACAATATCTTTTTGTTAACATGCCTATGCTGCGTGATCGGGCACAGTCCTTCCATTTCCCGAGCGATAGAGATCCATCCGAAGCTAACTCACCACTATACGATACAGTATTTGTCCTTCTTGACCGAACGGAGGTACTAGTAAGCAGTTTCATCTAGCCTTGGTGTTTCAAACATACCTGGTTTCTGAGACTAAACGATAATTAACGAATTAAAGATACCGCCTCCCTCAGAAGTCATTCAAATCGTCAAACAAATCGCTGAAAGCTCAGAAGATCCAATCTCACTTCCAGAAATCCTGACAACAAAAATACTTGTCCCTCTATCCGGCTTTCTGCTTGAATATCCAGTTGCTTATGTCCCGTCATCAGAGACGTCTTCAAATTTCTTGGGAGGTGTTCCATTGGATGTGTATGAATGCACTATCGATCTAAAAGGTACACACTCTGGGGAAACCGTGAGAGAACACACGCTTCTGAAGTTCTCGTGCCCCGCACACCTTGCGGCGACTTGCACCACTCTGGAACCAACCCGAGTTATCGGAGAGCTTGAACTTCGCTTTCGAGATCGCCTGACGAACACAACGGACAGATCGAGTTCACTCAAGGTCACTCATTCGGTGGTCACGCAGGACAGAATGGCTCTCTAGACGACGGTGATCGCCCACCATGCGCCAGGATATGCAAGGCTTTGATTTACAAGACAAAAATAAGGAAGGCGATGAACACGACAGGCATCTACTCGACTTCTACGTTGATGATCTTAATATCCTCGAACGGTTTGTCCAGCTTGTTCGTCTTCACGTTCTCAATGGCATGTACAACTTCCAAGCCTCGAAGGACACGACCGAAAATCGTATGCTTGTTGTCAAGCCAGGGTGTCGCGGTAGTGGTGATAAAGAACTGTGATCCGTTCGTATTCGGGCCGGCGTTCGCCATACTCAACGTATACGGCCTACAAACGCGTCAATAAAACAAGAAAAGGCATTGGAAGGAGACATCGACCTACCTATCATGCCTCAAAGCACTCGTAAACTCATCTTCAAACTCCCTTCCCCAAATCGAGTCACCACCCGTACCGTCACCAAGAGGATCTCCGGTCTGGATCATAAACTTCGGAATAACCCGATGGAAAATAATACCCTCGTAATATCCGCTGCGCGCATGCCCGACGAAGTTCTCGACTGCCTTAGGCGCATGTTCTGGAAAGAGTCGTATGTGAATGTCACCCTCGCTGGTGTGTATCGTTGCAGCGTGTGCAATTGGCGATGGTCCGCTAGCTTTTACGGGTGCTGCTGAGGCTGTCGTTTGTTCGTCGCGCGTTGGCCGTTCGTTGAAGACGTCACGGTCACCCTGATCTTTCATATCCCTGGAAAAGCATCAATATTTGCGGCACGGAGTCGATAAACGATCCACGTACTCTGGCTCCGTTTGAGTGAACATATAGAAACGCTGTCGTTTATACCCAGTGCAAAAAAGAGTCGGATCACGGGTTTCTTTACTAGCAAGGATGGGATTTGCTGAAGCAGCCATTGCCTTAATGAGAACGTGAGTTTTTCTTAATATCAGCCGAATTAAATGCCCAAACATACGGCGGTGGTACGGCCTTTCTTTGCCGGCGCTCCTTGATACAGGCTCAAGTTCATCCATCGCACTGTCTCGTCCTTTCCTAGCAAGCGAACCACTTTGTTCGTTACCGTGTTTACCACTACTTGATGTCAGCGCTCGAATGATCGGTGAAAGAGACTAACAGCGGACCTTTGATTCCCAGCAAAGTCGGGTATAATACAAAATTGCCACTCTCGTCCCAAACGGCATTTATCCATCGTCCTGGTACTTTACCGTCAGGTCCAGGTAGTTCCAACTCACGGTCAACAGCCAATCTACGCCCGAATTCCATATCTTCAATGCGATAGATCGACGTCCCGGCCTGCTGCATGTCCTGTATCGCCCCCAATGATTCATCATATCGCCTTGTGAGCTTTCCAGAGATGAAGGAAAATATGCGTATTTGGCGATCAGGAAGCGAGAAGGTTACGAAGGAGTTGTTGTCTGGCGACAATACAATGCACGTTGTTGTGGCTTTTGCCTACAGGATAAGGTCAGCTTTGTGAAAAGAGTGAAAAAAGAAAATTTGTGGAAGTCACCTTTTTGAACTCGAACAAGTCCGTGGAGCTTTTGTACTCCCACATACGAGGTACATTTTTCGGTAGTTCGAATGGCTCAAAAGGTTGCCAATATTCAATGAACCCGTTCTCATCAGCCGAAACGACGGTGTCGTATCTGTCGTTGTACTTATCCACCGCTCTAGTCAATAGTCTCGCCTTTAGGGTCACTTGAGGAAGGACCATGTACTCACTGTCATAATGTGAACAGGGAACCTGTGGACCTTGTCGACGACGAAGAGGGGTTTGTCATCGCCTCGTCCGTCGTAAATACGAATCACGCCAGAGTTGCTTTCTGAACTGTGCAGTTTATAAATAATGTGTCGATTCAAAGAACATTCATGTACTTACACAGCAAGTAAAGCCTGTGCTTTTCCCTTACCATGTACCCAACAGCAGCAATGAGGAACGAAGCCAAGTTTAATCATGTTAATCATGTCTGTTGAAAATCGAAGACTGTTAGTGTCATAGCAAAGTTCATAGAATTCATCAACCCACCGAAATTCACGACATCAAACACCTTCGCAGTCCCATCCTCAGATATACTTGCAAAGAGCGTCCCATCCACACTCGCAGAAACGCCAGTAACCTGCTGCAAATGCGCACGGTAATGCTTGACGAATTCAATACCAACTTCCTGCTTCTTCCACAATTTGAGATGTCCATCAATCGAGGTGGTTATTACGAAGTCTGTTCCGCGAGTGACGACGACGAAGTTGATGACATCGCGGTGCATAAATGATTTCGCGTAGCGATCTGCGCTCGGGAGATGAGAAAGGTAGAGTTTCTCGTGCGGAAGGACTGGATGTGCCGGTAGTTAATCGGCTTGGTCAAGTCGTACACATAAATTGTATACTACTCACCCTTCCTTTTCTTCTTTATCACTTGAGCTTCGGGAGCATCAGCAGGCATAGGCATCGGCCCAATGTCGTCGTCGCTGTCCTCCGTCACATTGTTGGAGTTGCCATTCGCTTCGTCTTCCGCGGCGGCATCGCGCTCACGCTTTCCCAAGACAGAAGCCTCAGCGTCGGACATTTCTTGTTCTTACTCTACGCGTATCAATCGTGTCAAACAGTGACTTTGGCTGCTCAGTACCGGAGGAGACGCTGGTCAAGGTTCAAACTTCAAACCCAAAGGACGCGTCGAAACTTTTGTTTCTCACAATTCGCGTCGATCACCCAGGGTCGCATGTTTATCCTATCCAAATAAACACCCAAAAAGATGTATATATATTCTACTGTGGACAGATGCACGACGAGGAACCGGAGTACAAAAACTGTAGTACTATCATGACTACACTAGAAATCAACTTGGAGTAACAAGCACGGTTGCGGTACAACTGTAGTAATATAACATTTAAACATTTTCTTTCATCAACAGGAAATGGTCATATAGGTAAAGTCGGGAGAGAGAGAGCACTTGGGTCAATCGAGTGAAGGAAAGGAAAAACGATAAAAGCAGGTAAATAATAAGACAAGTCGACTTCAGCGATAACACGGGCATGGAAAAGCAAGACACGAGCCTCCCAAGAAAAGAGGGAGTATGTATGCGAATTGGGCACATTTTCAGATGAACTCTTCGAGCTCGAGATTTCTGTTGCACGTTTTGAACTCCTCAGTCTGTTGTCCCCAGGCCTTCCAGGAGTCTTCATCGAGCGGAGCGGTACGTCCAAAGTCAATGAGTCGGAAACGCCTGTGCATTTTGCTACGATCAAAGGGCGAATCCGTGAGCGGGCCAAACTGCATAAGGATATTCCGTTGAAAGACCGAATTATGCAAATAGCCCGCTAAATGAAGACGCTTAATCAAGGAAAAACACTCTTGTCTAATTTGCGTATTAAATAAATTCAACCATTGAAAGCGACTGAATACCACCCACCTATCGTCTAATGACAGCTTTTCCGGGTTGACTTGTACGCCGCAATGCTCGAGTAGCAAGATCGGACTCATGTACTTGCCGCTTTTTATCGGATCATTCTCTTTGTCTGGTACATAGTAGCCATAGTACTGGGGAACAACGGCACCAACTGGTGTAGGGTCGTGCGTAGGCGGAATGACGTTGTAGCCGTTCCAGTGCTCAGACATATGGCTAGGGAACTTCTCATAGTTCTCCGCCTCATTGCGTAAATGGTGTTCATGACCACCGATTCTCTCGTCTTGAAGCGACAGCTTTGCAACGACACTGGCTCGATGACTGGGTGGGATAGGTACTCCCTTATCCAAGTGCTTGCAGAAGGGCGGTTTATTTTGTAAGTTGCCCTGGAGTGTATGGAGGCGTTCATTAAGAGGTTTCCCTTCCTCATCTAAGTACGCATACTGAAATTCTAAGCCGTTGCCTGTTTTCCGTCTGCCGTTTATTTCCGCCAGTTCAGCGGGTGTCATCTTGCTACGCCCTTCATTCTCTTCGCTAATATTTTCAAATGCACAATCAAAGCATGTCGTCGGCAGCGTTAACATTTCTCGAGGCAGCTCCAGTTCCGCTTGGTAGACGTATGAATGATGCCCTTGACCAATTCGCCGTCTCGGTGAGATGTATAAATGAGCGACGGGACAGTCGTGAGGGCCGCCCATCATCATCAGCGTACGTTCCGAGGAAGGCCGATTCTCATGCTTTACATCGCTGAGCTGGAGATGGTAAGTACGAATAATGTCAGGTTTGCTACCCCACTTGTACTCCTTGCGGTTAATCCCGTCTTCATTAGGATTTGATTCGGAGCGATCTGTGTCCATAATGAGGGCATTCCATGGATCATGAACAATAAGTTTACGGGGCAGCTCAGAGAGGTCGAATTTCCATTGAAGACGTGCCAATGGCGCACTGAAGGGACGCAGTGGCCATGGATATGGATATTCTGAGGGAGCAAAGAGTGTTTGGTCGCCCTTTTATCATTACGCGAAGAACAGCATGTGAATTGATAGTCTAAAATTATTTGAGATAGCAGTGCTTAAATACTTACCGCTTCCGTAATGGATCTATCAATATCCATTGGTTTACCGACTTTGCCGCGCCAGACGGCTTCTTCGAGAACTTGAAGGTATTCGCCCATGTCATACACTGTAAGCCGACGAGGATTATCTTCCTTGTCTGCCTGCTCGAGATTGCTCTTTGCCCAGTCCAGTTGACCCGCTTCCTTCATCCAAGAAGCAATTCTACTGCTGGTCGCTATAAATCGACATTCCAGTTCGTGCAAGAAACGCACGATTTTTTTTTCGTATACTCACAGATCGAATGTACTCCTGGGCATGAATTTACCCAATAGAAGTCGTACAGTGTTGATCCCCATAACCAGGCCCCTGTAGGTGACACTTTAACATTAAATGTAGGCATGAATATGACGAATATGACAACCATTTCCTGTGTTCTTGCCTCCACTCCTTGTCCTTGGCATGTCAACTCCATTAGGGGAGCTTGGCCAGTGTCGGAAGATGAACCGCTCCTTCCAGTGATGTCCACCCTTGCCAGTTGTCCGGCCACCCTGTTCCCAGTTAAACCACTGGATAATCTTGTTGTAGGCCTTGTCGGTCTTCCTGAACGTCTCAAAATCAGAATTTGCCAGGTCTTGTCGGCTTGGTATCGATATTGCTACGGTTTGTTCCCTATAACTCGAGCTCTTCTTCTTGCCTTTGTTAAAATCGTCTTCGTTGTCGGACATGACTGGTGGCAACAAAGAAAGAACTGTATAACTATTATGCATATACAGTACTTTGTCGTCTACTTTTGGAATGTGGGAGAGTATTTGTCAGACTCACAGAAAAGAGCATACAGTGTATGTATTGTCATCATCACGTTCATAACATTGTACAAGACAAGATAGCAGAAATTGGGCCGAACTCGTGAAAGGGGTAACTGTGATAGTAGGAATCAATTTTGCAATCCCAAGGAGGGGTATCATTCACAAAAGAAAAGAAAAGTAGGAACACATCGTTGTGCACAAGAATAAGAGAATTGAGTGTGAATTGCAGAAGAAAATCTGATTGGCAAGAAAAAGGGCCAAACAACGGAGGAGCAAGCGTAGTTCTGAAGATCCATAGAAATGAGATATCGAAGCAATCGAGGAACTTAACGCAAGGGCTCACCCTGTATAAATACACATTATGCTGGTGACCTAAACGAATAATGAACTGCAAGAAGTGATGCGTGATAATTAAGATCCCCAAGGAACACGAGAAAACATCCAAGATGTTAACCAGGAGCGGGTCGACGGTACCTCCGTCTCGTCCTCGTTCTGCTTCTCATTGCGACGTCGACTCTCTGTTGCATTGGCTTCTTCCGCAATGACTTCACCTACAACTACATCCCGTGTCGTCACGGGCGTCGACGCACCCGAAGCTGAGCGGGCCCGAGGATGTGACATCGCGAACGAAACACGTGAATGCGCATGAACTCCTATAATGGTATGGCCTGTTTGTGCCACAAATGCTGACGTACTGCGTCGTCGAGGAGGAAGATGAGGATGTTGAGAGGCAGATGCTGGCTGTGCGGCAGAACACGCCGATACAAAAGACGGTGTGCGACGTCCTATTGGGAGTGGAGTATCAAAGGTTTTGGATCGTGTCTGCGAGATGCTTCGGCGGCGAACATCGTTACTGCTACTTGTGTGTCGAGTCAAGAGGCTCGGTCGACGCAGCGACCGTCGACCACTCGTATCTTCAGCGTAGTCGACGTCGCTTTCTCTGTGAATATTCTCGACTCGTTGAGCAATTTCAGGCGGCAAGTCGATGTCCTCATTACCACTGAGCTCACGGCTCATCACCGTTCTAAGAGGACCCTGCTCCGAGTCGGGAAGAGTCATTTCATCGACGGACACAGATGAAGGTAAGTCGGCCAGAGCAATGCCGCCTTCGATCCATTCGCCAAGTTGCCCAAGACTAGGATCACTGGTGAGCGCCCGGAACACGTTGACCGTGTCATCTAAATTTAGTATCCCAACCGGATCGCGAGGCAGCCAGAGGTGATTTGTTACGGGACGGGTGTAATAAGGATTGTCGTATGGGCGATCTAGCCGTGCCGAATCATCCCATGCAGGGTGCTTCTCGTGAGCGGTCACCAACGGATGCCTGCCGAGTTGGGCTGCAAATGTCTGTGGCGAGCTTTGGGGGCTTGAATGTAAAGGTACGCCGAAATTGAGGTCTGGCATTGACTTCATCGGCGCTGGGACACTCGCTTCCCAGCTTGGATTACGAATTGTGCCGTCCCAAGATTTCAGACGTTTTGAAGGTCTTGCCTCGTCGAACGGAATAGGCTTATGCTCTCCTCCAGCTCCCATTTGCTGCGGAGCCGCGGAATACGTGAACTTGAATCCCTTCGGAAGTTTCCAAGTTTTGAAACGCGCCAGACTTGAGCCTCTTACAAGCTCTTTAGACGTCGAACTACGCTGACTTTCTGGAAGCTCGGTTAGAGGAGGTTCTGGAGGCTGTATACCACAGACAACATGTGCCTCAGTGATGTCAGCAGTTTCAAACTTCGATCGGCAGACTCGAGTAAAGCTATAATGGATTGCATCAGTATACAGCATACAACCAAAATTTTAAAAAACCGAATTTCGTGGCATACATGATCTTTACAAGCACTGTAACGGCAATCATAACGGCAGTCAAAGCAACGTGAACTTCCTTCTTGTTGACACCCATGAAAGCCATGAAAATGACCTGGGCAAGAATCAAGCCGTCAAGCGAGAAACGAACTAGTCGAATGAGTATGAGGTTGCCATTTCCTTCGTAATTCTTGGCGTAGACATGGAGTAACTATGAAATGATGAGACAAAACGTAACTGAGGTATCACGGTATGACAAACCTGGTTCTTGATTACCACTGTAATATCAATGAAATCCATTCAAAAAATGAAATAGACAGCGTAAATACGTAACTTACCCGTCTCAATCGCGAAGTAAAGCACAACAAACGGCATCAAGAGGGGATTGAGGACAGAGAATACCAGCGTCAGGATAACGATCAAGATATGATTTGGTAACCAATCTACGAGAAAAGCATCAATCGCAAATTATACCTCCCTAGATGTAGGTACTTGCAATAATAATTGAAAGTCCGTGGCCGGATCCCAACTGCACGTTTACGAGGGGTCATTTGCCGTTTCGTTGAAGGGTACGTGAAGAGTGGAAGCTTTGCTTTCGTTAAGCATGCATTACAATGTTTCGAAGACGGGACTTACACCGACTAGAAGGATTGATTCAGTCACAACTTAATAGAAGAAGGAATGGCAAACACTTACAGAGAATAAGTTCTATTCCACCGTGAATGGCAGCCGTAAAGATGACTATTGTCATCATGAGCACAGCAGACGTTAAACGTAATAAAATGCCTTACACCAGCCAATATAAAATGGACCAGCAATGGGAAAGCTTTCGCCAATGACAGTCAGAACATCCGTACTCGACTTGAATTTCGTGAAAAACGATTCAAGAGCGGTAACACCGACACAGAAAAAGACCAGGATATTGGCAACGAGGAACTTGTGGTAACGCGTGAGGATACGATCGTGCAAAGCGGATAACGTGCTAATAGTGTATGCCTTCTTTGCAATCAGCAAAAGAAGCAGAGGGATAAGCAGCACCAATAAAGACGTGGAGACGGTGGGAAGAAGTGATTGAATAAGTTCTTGAATGAATTCGTGTTTGTTTAGGAAATTGAGCTGAAGCGACAATGAGAATCAGCCCCAAAATATTGTAAATTGCTTCTTACCAAACCCGGAATCACTGTCGCAATATTATTTATATTCACAAGACCGACAAGAACGGACACAGGGATGATCCAGACAATAGTAAAAGCCCTGCGTGGCCAATAAGCAAAATTACTGCATATTATTCGAAAATTCCTCACCATACGCCGAGGTCGACAATCCAATCTTTCATGAGCTAGCAGAAACTGATTGTCAACAATGAAACGAGAAACTTGAGCACAGCCTTACCTCCGCCCTATAGGTTTGCTTCATGACTCTCACCCAGTCGAGGTCTTCGTAATCAGGAGCCATGCTCACCAAACACGCTAGTGGGTTTTTCGGGTGTACCGCAAGGAAACGACAGGCACGACGAGCATCATCAGGATGCGCGAATGTCACAAAGGCGGTGGATAATGCATCAAAATCCGTCGGTGGGCGAGAGCGCTGCTCTGTGATGAGTGACGTGAGGAGATTTACTTTGGCCGTATAGTAGTCGATCGCTGGCACAGCACGGCCACGAAACAGGGCATTTAAATGCACAAGAGGTTGATACGCATTTAAGGTTGACCTCGGTAGACTGAAAAGCGCTTCCCACACTGTAGGATGATCAGCCACAGGAGTCTCCGGCCGTTTCTCGGTTAACCTCTTGCATTCCTCGACTGGACGGACTACGTTAGGGAAGGCTCGAGACAGCCGAGATCTGGCTGATCTAAGGAGTTTGTGCTTATCCCTCATGCCGAACTCTTCAACATGAGGTCCTAATGTGCGAGTTAGTAATTCTGTCCTGTCCTCGGGTACCATCTCGTCTTCGAGTGTCGTAGATGCCCTCTCAAGGTCCGTCTCGACAGAAGGCTTCCCATCACTCCGCCTCCCAGTGAAACCTGATAGTCTCGACAAGCGGCTGGCAGCACGTTCTCTTCTGGATGGTCCGTAGTCTCTGAGGTCCATAGCTTCTTGCACTGCCGACAGCGCTTTACGTGCTAGGCGGATATGAGCCGTTTCCAACCTACGCATCATTTCTTCCCGACGATCCAATAGTGATGCAAGTTCTGTCATCTTTCGAGCGACTGTGACGCGCTCAATTTCAGGCTTGGTTCCCTGCTGAGCTTTACCCTCCATTATGGAATTCAATTCTTCGCTACTGGCATGCGACATAACTCCAGTCTTCCGCGCGCGATTGATTAAATATGAAATTAGCTTGTTGAGCAATCCCGGTTGAGTCGATGATGTGAGGCCAATCGACGGTTTTGCTAGCGGACGGGACATGTAATACTCAAAGTATTCCTTCAATTCCTTCTCTGAGCGCAATCTTGCCGGGACGTTCGCGACCATTACTGTCCGCAGTCTCAAACCCTTGTTTTCCTCCTCTTGCCCCAGTGAAGGCATGGCTTGAAAAGGATGCTGTGGATGCGGATGTGGAGCATAGTCCTCAATAAGTTCTCGATGAGCACGCTCCTCTGCCGCCCTTATAGCTTGAGCCCGGAAGTGGAATGCCCCCTTACTGATCCAGATGAGCGTTAATATCCAGGTGACCGAAACCCACAGCAAGAGGACCAAATGAATCCATAAAAGATCTCGACCACTGGCTGTTGATACAAGCGCTGAGATCAAGGCTCTTGTCATCGACTTTGGAGAGTACAGTGAGGAGTCGGAGAACTTCAAATGTATCGGCAAAAGAATCGCGGTGGTAGTGAACGTATGAAGAACGGAGTACCAGACTAAGTTATGTCAGAAGGACGCCTCAAGCACTTATAACAAGGCAAAGATGAACATACAGCATGCGCGGATGAACCGGCAATACAATGTCGCATCAACACCACGCAACTCGCCGAGTTTCGATTCCGGAAACATAATTACTTCCTTAACCCACGCCAAGGGCCAACCTCGCGGGAGTGGTGGGGACGGGTTCCTATGGCTTATGAGTGCATGATATTCCACAACGGTTAATACAGAAAACACACTTTGCCCATGAGCGACCTTGATATAGGCTAGCCAAGGCCAACATGAGTTCAGTACGTCCAATCTAGTATAGACTGTACGCACTAGCCAAACTCCCAAGATTCGACACTTCCAAGTGGCTCTTCCCGGTTCTTTCCTCGCCTCTTCCGTCTCATAAAGTCATGGGCGGTGACACAGATCAGGATAATGCATCCTGCGAGAACAGATTGATTAATCAGACCACTATGAGTTGGTGGCGGTTAGTGCGTTTATGCCTGTTCGATGCGATCTACGGACCTATAATCCCGCGCAAACGGGCGCTGCTGTAGCGTGGCCATGCACAAGCATGGGCGAGTAACGCACTACAAGCAGCCCGTGCGCAACGATGCGAGGAGGTTTGATGAGGGGCAGAAGCAAGCCAGCGTGCGAGCGGAAGAACTATGGTACGAGCACCAGTGACGAGCAAGCGTGTTCTAAAATAGAACGCCACCTGACCATAACAAGGCCGCGTCGATCATCCAATTTCATCCCCGCTTGTCTTTTCGAGTTGACTACCAGGCTGGGCTTGTCTCTTGACGATATAAATGGCTGCTGCTGCTGAGCTGGCTCACTGGACATCCGAAACACACCAAATGTACTGAGTATACAAATAGCGTTTTGGTATCTGCCCTGCTCTCCTACAGGCTTTACTATATCTGTCTCGTACACTACTCGTGAGCTTGGCAAAACGTTTGCTCGGAAACAGCGACGATATTATGTAGGAGCACTAACTTTGTCGAATTATACTGCATGTAATCGTCTGTCTACTAGAGAAACTAAGCAAGGCCTATTCTCAGTGGTATAAACATAATGTTTCTATGACGTGGTACCACATTTGGCGGCAAGGCCTGCGCTTCGATTGTCGAGATTTAATCCCCAGAACTTTGTCAACAGTAATCTATAACCACGACACACAATGTGGCCTGTGTCTGTGCGTGTTTAAGGCACATGATGTCGTCTAAGCGAGGTTGTTGCTTTGGTCATGTCCAGATCGGAACCACGAAATCGTGCACCTATATAAGCGCCAAAATTTTCCTTCCCGGATCTACCTTTTTGAAAGTCCCTAGTGTCTGTCGAACATAATGCCAGACGCATCCAAAGGTCAGTTTCACAAACCCTTCCATGCCAGACCAAAGGTACTCACGTACGCATTAGCAAGATCTTGTCCCCCGAGCATACAACGTACAGAACATGGCTGTCCGAATATTAGCAGGCCTCGACCACTCATAAAGCGTTCGAAGTCTATGGCCACCAGTATACGTAGCTCTTCCGCCTCAGGTGCTTCGAGGCCGTCGTCGACGGCTTCTACAATGAGCAAGTCTTCTAATTATGGGATGACCATGATGCAGACAATTATCAAAGCCCTCAACACACCTATTTCTGACATCAATTTCCTGTCCGACAATCGCTCTTCGACGTCCGATAGGTCCTCGATATTCTCACGGTTTCGTCGCGGTGATGACAAGCAGACAGTGGATAACGGTCAGTGTCTACCCGTGCCACACCTACGTCCCGCTTCGCACTTGCGACAGACCACGATGTCGCTCCTATCTGACTACAGCACTTTTCGCAGCAGCATAATGAGCGTGGGGAGTACTGGGATGGCCTCAGACGAGATTGTGGCTGCCGCGAAACGATACTATTCTTCCATGAAACAATACTTGACACTCTTCGACACTCTTCCCCCGTCCGTTCGCGACACGCTTGACGTACAGCGTATGCGTACACAGCTTGAGTTCACCGTTGATCTCTTGCAGCCAGTAATGCAAGAATCGCTAGATGATCAGACTGTTCTAATCCTTGACAACACTCTGATGCTCGTCAAGAACATCCTGGTGGATGTGCACAACCTCTTGGTTCAGCAGGCACATCCGGCCAGAGTAGTGCTTGAGGAAGATGAACATGAAGAAGACCGGTCTTCAGGTGAATGGTCTGGCCAATGTGAATACGAATATGAACACGATATACCGGGCATACGGATCTCCATACATGTCGATGAACCTGACGAAGACAAACCTGAACGAGAGGAACCTAATCCAGGTCCCAGTGGCCTTCGTCGAATGCGGAGCTCCATGGCGATCTTGGGAAGCATCTCAAAGGACAAGAACGCCTCCAACGACGCGCGCGGTAGCACCACCAACCTCACCGAGTCAGATGGATCTTCCGATGACCAATCGCATACACTGCGCGGAACATTCACAGAGCATTCTAGCTCAACCCAGGAGACACTCGTTGATCTATCGCAGAGTATCGAAGCCGTCTCCGCTTCCTTGGTTGCCTTCAAGTCGGTTCCTCTCTTCTCTTCAGGGAACCAGTCCGATGCATCCCTCCCGAGGCCTGTAAAACCTGCTGATACTATGGACGTCACGTACAATAATGACGGATCCCCCATCGCGATGTCATCCGCTGCCATCATAGAACAGTTGATCAAGGAGCTGGGCGCTCGGCCTGATAAGGCTGCTGTCGTGCACGTTGGTGGTTTCAGTGATGTAATTTTGTCGACTTTCCGTTTCTTCTGGGAACCTATGCAATTATTGGGATACTTGGAAGAGGTGTATGACGAGTCCTACTATAATGACCGGAAGTTGAGCGTCGTCCTGATCGTGCGGACATGGGTTTTGTTCTATTGGCTGCCTGAAGATTCCACGGCTGAAGGCGTCCTGAAGAGCATGCAGCGCTTCCTTGGTAGAGCGTTGGCCGACGGTCTCGTCTGTGTCACCATCATAGCCGACATCCTGAACCGCCTTAGGCAGTATTCCAGTAATAACAGACTCTCTGCGGTTACACGCGACGTATACCAGCTTGATTTCGAGGACATGCCAAGGCGACTCATTGACTTTCGTCGTGATGACTCCTTATACAAGGGACAGTTCGAGAATATCCGCCTCACGGGCTTCAATAACAAAGACGACTGCGTGGAATTTGCACGGCAACTGACTCTACGCGAATCTGCTTTGTATCTCCAACTCTCCGCTAGGGAAGTTATTAGCTGCTTCGTGCCGGGAGAAAAGGAGAAAAATGGTATCGCGAAGGAGAAGTTGGACAGGCTACGCGAGTTCTCGTGCACTGTCAAGCGCTGGGCAGAATGGAATGTGCTGAGGCGGACGACACCGCTGAAGCGGGCCAGGACGATCGCGTTCATGATGCGCTTGGCCAAAGAGTGTGTTATAATCCGGAACTTCAGTGCGGCCCACTCTATTCTCTATGGTGTATTATCCGTCCATCTGGATATATTGTTCCAGACTGAAGCCGTATGCATCCGATTGTGTGACGACTGTTGAACACCACTAAAATTTAAACACAGGAATTGTCGCCGAAGGCCAGAAGGGCCATGACTTATGTCTCGGACTTCTTCAAGAATAACCGAAACATCTGCATGGAGTCATCAGCGCAGCCAACAGTTCCAATCATGGGTGAGTAAAGTACCCAAAATTCATGAGGGTTTAATACTTACATGTACGTATAGCTGTATATTCAGGCAAACTCTCTCGCCTTTCTGAATTTGCGGGAGTGACGTCGAAGTCCAAAGTCGACGATTCTGTCGAATTGATAAACATCTCTTTCTTCAGAACCGCCACACGCATCACTTATGGTCGGTATTCCCCTATAAACGTTATTTTTCTTTGGACTTACGCATTGCTTTAGCCATGGAGAGCAACCAGCATCCCTACAAGTTCAAAGCATACGCCCCATTACAAGCGTTCATTAACTATATGCTGGATGCCGTCCCTGGAGAGGACGATATTCATGAGTTATAGTACGTCTATTACATATTACGGATAGTTAAAACATAGCTTATGACTTCGTTTCGTTAGTTTAAAAGTTAAACACGAAGAGCAGAACGGTTTAGTACCGACTAAGCCTAGTCTATTTAACCGCCTGCGGAACAATTCAATTGCATCTTTCCCAAGGTTTTGAGCTGCGTGTGGATGACGTTGCCGCGTCTGATCTACGTTGTAATTTTTCTGCAAAGCGATGATATTGCGAGTTCCTGATTCTCCCTTAATTCTAATTCCACCCCTCCTCTCACATCTAGTCACACGTACCTTAAGCTTTATCGTTATGCATTTCGCATTTCCCTGCTTTCTCCATGTTTTCTCTTTGTTCTTTATCCTTAGGCCATTGATCCGGTCCGCACACGTTCCTTCGTTTTCCTGTTCATTTTTCTGATCTCATATTTTATATAACACACTACGACCCCAACCCTCTTTCCATCCGTCTCTCTCAGGGATTAGAATAAGTAGGAACAGAGACTCGCTTGCTTGTCTCTCGCAGAACCAAACATTACCACTCATAATGTGTACCTTAGTCTTGCAATTTATTCTCTTCACTTCAATTTGTAATTGGAATTTAAAGTGGCCACAGCACTGCCCCGCAGCTAGCATCCCTTCACAAATTATTCAACAGAAATAAGTTGAGTTGTACTCTTCACATGTGCAAAAACTAGCTGTAAAGCAATTTATCTTTTCAAAATAGTTTTTACGATTTTTTATGAGCTGTAGAGGGATGCGATCCCTCTTTGCCAATTTTGTCACATTCTGTCACAGAAATTTGGCTCTGGCAAGACACAGCACAAGCTCTGGGAATCTGTCACTTTTGTCACTCTCAAAACAATCTTTACTCAATTTTAATTTACAACCACCATTAAATCTCTCAAGAAAAAATAATATAAGTACTTGTGTATAAATTATATACATGTGTAGTAATATCAACTTATTAACTTGATTAGAAAAATTAAAACTGCTAATTATAAGGGTTGCAACCAGTGGAAATAGCAGTATTCACAGGTTTTTAATTCCTCTATCAATTTTTTTGTAGAAAAAAAGAGATATTGTGTTTTAAATAGTAAAAATACACTCCCATGAATTTTTGTAGAGTATTAGGTGTTGTGTTTTGTGTGTAAATGCAAATTGGCAAAGAGGGATTGTTAGCAAAGAGGGATCATGGTATAGTAACTGGGCAGCACTCAGGTTAACTGCGCAGATCGGACGGGATGCGGTGTTTTCTGAGTCCTATGGCTGTGGATATCAGTTTTACTTTGGTTCAAACTATATCTTATGCTCTGATATACATATATGCAAATTTTCAAGTCAAAATATTAAGTGGTTGTGGAGGAATAAAAAATTGGCAAAGAGGGATCATGGTATAGTAAGGTAGAGAAAGTATAAACCCGACATAGTGTGACGCGGCAGCCTAACCCAATTGGGATGCAAACAATGATGGCGAAATACAACACTCAGTATCCCAAAAATGCAGATTTGAGCTGCATAGATAGATTAAGCTTACTCTAACCTACAAAAGAATGTTTTTAATTTTTAAAAATATTGAGATTTGAGTGACTTATTTCCAAAAAATTTTTTTAAAAAAAATTGCCAAATGCACAGAAATGCAATTTAGTGAAAATTTCAAAAAAATTTCTCGGATTTTTGCCGCTTCGGCAAAACTAATATTATATAACATTACCATATATAGCGTCTTACTAATTATTACCAATATAATATTGGTCAGCATTTTCGTCTATTTGTTATAAGAGTCAGAGGCTTACAATAAATACTTGCTCTAATGATAAATATTCAAGATACAACCAAGTATTATCAATATATTGTTAATTTGTAGTACTAATAAAAGCTATACAAAACATTTCTAAGACCTTTTTTGTATGTTTAAAAAAAGGTCAATGTCCACGGCTCAATTTTTGCCAAAGGGTCCTTCCTAAAAGGGTAAGTGGCTGTGCTGTGACTGATGTGACACCCTATGTCGGGTTTATACTTTCTCTACTACGGTGGGGGACCACGCGGGAATCCTGGGTGCTGTGGTTTTCTCACTTGATTTTCTTATTGTAACATTACTAGGAATGGTTGGAATTCACTTTGCTTGATGGAATTGCAATTGTCTTTACTCTGAGATTTTGCTTTATACTAAGGTGTAAAACACACTATGGTTTTATTACGTAAGCACCTTGGTGTGTAGTCATTTCGACAGTTTCACTGTTCTTCAAGGACGTCCTGCACCTTACATCTACCATCGTTTTACGGGACAAGTTCTAAGCTACGTACCGCGGCGTTGTGCACAAAGCATGTCGTGTCGAACATCGCCAGCCGCAAGTTTCTCAATACACGATCGTTCTGTCACTTCTTTCGTTCTGCGATATCTCGTCTGTTGCGCTGCTAATCAGATGAACCACCACTGACGTTTTGAAGCTTTATAAGTTCCTGGAAGAAATGCTCAGAAGAAACCTTTGATTCAATTTTACTCTATAGATACTTTACAAACGACAAATCTGGGGCTACCTAGTAAAACGCATCAGTAACAAGTCATCTTTCCTGTCGTGTTTCTCAGGGCTACAGTCAAAACAAAATAAAACGTAAATTTGCTATCTGCAATTCCTCTCCACAGAGTTTTTCTTTATGCTCGCCAAATGAACACGCCGATCGTTGTTCACTGGATCGTCATTGTGCTTCTAGGTTAGCGCTTGTTCGCCAACGTGTCAGCCGCAGTCCCAGCCACTTATAAAATTCGCCTCGATGCTAGCTGGTTTTCTCATTTTCTCCTAATTACCACAATCGCGTCGACATACGCTGCCCAAAGCCCGCTCCTTTCACGAACACACTCGTTTCTGTCTACGTTATCGGTGGATACACACGGATTCTGCCTCATTCATCATTTGTTGCCTTAAGATCGTTGTCTACCAAAGATGGGCGCAGGAGCAGCTCTCGTCGCCAATGACAAAGATACTTGGAAGGAACTCCTGGATCCAGGGCGGAAATTTTATAACAACCGGAGGTGTGTTCCGGTGCAGTTGGTTTGCGTGATGAATGGCTGATGATTTGACTTCAACCCAGGCTTATTTGCCTAAATGCCTGGATTTTCCTCTTGTAAGCTTGAAAAGGACAGGATTCATACAGCATCGGCGCTAACCCTTCTGTCGCATATGTCAGCCTCATCACTTCGTCTTCGAATGGTTTCGACGGGAGTATGATGAACGGATTGCAATCTCTAGAACAATGGGAGGAAGACTTCAATCACCCAACGGGAAGCATGCTCGGGCTGCTCAACGCCATTCAGGTTAGCATATTGATTCTCCATGGACAATTATGAAGTGGCTCTCATTGAAACCATGCGCTTCACTAGAACATTGGTTCTCTTGGTGCTCTTCCCTTCGCTCCGTACCTCTCCGACGAGATCGGGCGTAGACCCAGTATTTTGTTAGGAGCAACGATACTCTGGGGAGCGACACTTCTCCAGACTTTTTCATCTTCCGTCTCTATGTTCATTGGCGCCCGGTAAGGAGGATAGTTTCGATATACATGGAATAGATGGCTGATCTACCTCCGACATATTAATCATTCATCAAGGTTCCTCGTTGGATTTGGAACGACGATAGCTGCCAACGCCGCTCCAATGCTTGTATCAGAGATCGCCTACCCACCACACCGCGCAATTTTAACGTCTCTGTATAACTGTATGTGGTATTCGGGTTCTATTGCGTAAGTCATATTTCAGCCGTCGCATGGTCTCATTGGCCGCTTCCGCTCTACTCACACAAACTACTGCGCCTTCCTGCAACACACAGCGCAGCGTGGGCCACATTCGGTTGTGTGAAGCTTCATAGTTCATGGGCCTGGCGTCTTCCATCGCTTGTACAAGGAATTCCATCAGCAGCACAGGTCTTGTTGATGTGGTCAGCCCCAGAGTCTCCGCGTTGGTTAGTCTGTAAGGGTCAAGAGTCTCGAGCTCTGCAAGTTCTAGCACGTTACCATGCCGATGGAAATCAGTTGAGCATTTGCCTTACTTATCCGAATCAGTGCACTTACGTATACTTACTTCTAGACAAGACCCACTTGTGGTGCATGAGCTTGAAACGATAAAGACAGCTATCGCTGATGATTGCGATGCCGCCAAGGCGAACGTCGGCTGGTCCTCTTTCGTGCACGTCCCAGGCAACAGACGGCGTCTTTTTATTCTGGTCGCTCTTGGGTTCTTCTCTCAGTGGTCTGGTAATGGGCTTGTATCATACTATCTTAGCGAAGTCTTCGAAACGATTGGTATCACGGACCCGACGATGCAGTTACTCATTAATGGTCTCTTGCAAATATGGAACCTCTTTATCTCTGTTGGCGCGGCATTTCTCGTCGACCGATTGGGTAGACGCTTTCTGTTTATCACTTCATGCGCTGGAATGTTGGCATTCTTCATGATGCAGACAGTATGTTCTGCAATGTTTGCGGAGACCAGAAGTTCTGCAGCTGCACATGCTGTCATTGCGAGCATTTTCTTGTTCTATGCTGCTTATGAGTGAGTTACTTCGACCCCACTTATTCTAATTACTAAACTAAATCCGCATTATAGCTTGGCGTTTACACCTCTCGTTGTATCCTACTCCATTGAAATTCTACCGTTCGCGATTCGGGCAAAGGGAATGGCCATATACACCCTTACCGTAACGCTCTCCCTGATTTTCAACCAATATGTCAATCCGGTAGCCCTTGGCGTAAGTTCCCTTGTATTTATGTGACTATGCGGTATCTAACTCTGGCTCTTAATCGTCTTTAGGCACTTGGTTGGAAATATTATGTTAGTAATTTATGTCTTCGGCCTCCTCGATGAATAACTGATTACGTGTCGAACTGTACTTTATAGATCGTCTATTGTGTATGGTTGGCATTTGAGCTTGTATACTGCTGCTTCTTCATCGTTGAGACGAAGGGCCTCAGTCTCGAACAAACCGCCGCATTATTTGATGGTGACAACAAGTCGTCGGTCGGTCATGCCGACCAGCTAGATGTTTCATCGGAGGCAGAGACCGGCTCTTTCGTTCATGTGTCAAAGGAGCTCCCTCGGAATGAAGATGGAAGTGATACAAATTCCCTCGCGCATTCGTATGCAACAGATACTACGGTGGTCGAAGCCATTAAGCCTGCAGCCTAGAATGTGCGAGACGATGACAATATCAAGTTACGTTACGTTCAGTCTATGACTTTGTTAATTAGGCATTGTAACTCCGAATAATCATACTATAGAACGATGAAGCTGCTTTACGTGTTGAATGTACATAGGGTCAACTATTCAAGAAACGTCCAGAAAATGAAGCTCCTGCCAAATACGCGTAAACAATGGTACACTTTCCGTTCTGGGAACTATTACTTTCGAGAAATTTCTTAGAGGATAGAGCTAATCTTAGCTTGCTTTCTGGAGAGTTCTTAGCATGAGTGTATAAAAGAGGTGGGCTTTTCACGACTGTGCCCCTCAAAGATAATTCAAAGCAGACTTTGACGCGAATACCTTCACCTCTACTCTACTCCAAGTCGCTAACTCTTCACTAATAACCATGTCCTCCCTCTCCTTCTACGAGCCCTTCTTCTCTCTCAACGACTTCCAACGCTTCTTCGACGATGTGTTCGATCGTACGTCGTCAGAACGCCAGGTCGTGCCTCGTAATGGACAACAACAACAGCGCACCATGTCTCGCGGATTCCAACCGCGCGTTGATATTCACGAGGCACCCGAGGCGAACGTTGTAACAGTCTGGTTCGAGTTGCCGGGGATGACAAAGGAGAATATCTCGATTGACGTCTCGAAGGGTCGTCTCGTCGTTTCGGGCGAGGCGGGCTACAGGGATGTCGATGAGAAAGGCTTCATTCATCGTGAGAGGCGTACGGGACGCTTCGAACGGACTCTGCCGCTCCCGACTGGTACTCAGGTAGGTTTACATCAAAGTTTTTTTAGATGGGAGAACATGTGCTAATTCTAATCCTCACAGCCATCTGATATCAAAGCGTCTTTGGAGAACGGCCTACTAACCGTTACGTTCCCCAAGAGTTCTCCTGAGCAACTCCCACAGAGGGTCACTATCTCTTAAAAAACCACAGTCTTTTTTGCTCCTCTTTCATTTTCTCTAAAACACTCGTTTTCTCTTTTACGACAACTGTTTTCTTCAGCACTTCTTTTTTTCAAGCGCAAATTAGTCATGAAGTCAAGCTATGTACCACTTTACATTGAATTGTCATGTACTAGGAGCTAATTTTGGGGAAATGTAATTGAGCCTTATTTGTCATCCTTTCAAGAAGTACTTCACCATGTTCTCGATTCACGATAACCGGAGAACTCGGCCGGAAACGAATCGAAAAGTCACATGATCGAACTGAAGCGCAAAAAATTGAAAAATGGTCTTGAGCTTCCTTATCTTACTCACCTATACAAGCATCAATCGGGACTGGTGTACTTGCGAACAGTAGACTGTTGATACCATCAAGCCTTCTTTAAATGAAATCACCATATGCAAATGCTAACCCACGTCTTGTACAAGACGGATCAGACATGAATTGATTTCCAGATGCTATCAAGAATCAAAAGTGTCATATCCTGATTCGTGAAATGGAATATCAGATAGGGCTCTTTATATGTGCCCGTAGGTGATATTAAAAGTACAACACATACTCAAAACTCTAGCTGGCGGGCATCACTTGCCCTGCAATCGATGGCAGCTCTTGACCCAAGTGAAATCGTCTCTTTTGCTAACAATGTCTATATAGCAAGAGTATGTAACCAGACAGACTACTTTCTATTATCTACTTATTGGCCGGGTGTATAGATTACAATAGGTTTGTTACTTTCTACATTGCTGATCCTGTTACCTTTTGCTGATGTGCAGTGAAAAATTTGAAGTTGCAACGATCACAGTCTTGGTACGTTCCTCACTCTATATCATACTGTGTTTTGAGTAAAATATTTTAGACATACGACTACTTGCTGACATTTGGCAGAGAGAAGGAGCTCATCTGGCCGTCACGCACTTCCCCGTTCAAAATCCTTTTCTTACTGAATCGATATGCTCCGTTTATAGCGGTTTCTGGCATAGTCCATCGTATGGAGTAAATGCTATGCCTAACAAGCCCATGGGTCTGACGATTGCACTTCCAGTGTTGGTCTCATTTAATACGCGTGCTAATTCCCAAGTGGGTATAGAAAACATTATCTTGGATAATTGATATAACATTCACATCAGAACTGTGTTACTGCCTTTCGGGTGTTCGCGAGTATGCCAAGGTCTAATTAGGATATTTTTCACGAATTATTGACTAATTTTCACAGGCTTTGTAACTGCTGAGTATATAATAGGAGGGTGTAAGCTACAAATCCATAATATCCTCGTTGCTGCCCGCGATCTTATGGTTTAGTTATCCTGTACACTCGAGCATATGCTGTCTGGGGATGCACTAGAACAGCACTACTCTTGATCATAGCTCTCGCCCTGGTGTGTAAAACATCTGTCAACACTGGGACCAACAATCTGACACCTTTGCCCTCTTCAAATAGGCTGTCTTTGCTCCAGGATTGTACCTAACGGCAAAATTTCTCGAATCTGCTTCTGGTCTGTGCCGATCACTATACACATGTAGAACAGCAGTTTGACATTTGCCAAAGTGGTGAATGTGCCCCTCTTTCCAACAGGCTGTTTAATAAATTTAAACGGACACATTGAAATGTGTGCAATGATTACTGTTGTGGTCTCAGAAGGACGTGAGTTCAAGACTCTAGTACCCTTATTCCAAGTCAACTACTATAATGTTTTCTTAGTTGCACTCCTGGCTGTGGTAGTGAAAGCCAGTAAGTTAACTGATAATTGTATTATCAACAATTATTTATCTTTAGAGCCTAGCCCAAATGTTAAACGAACAGTAGAGAGTTTACACTAGATGTAGGGGACTCTTAATAATTGATGATATTACAGGGCACAATGCCCTTGCTTTTATACTATGGTACATGCACTACTTTGTGTAATAAGCATAAGGAGTCATGTGAGTGATGCTAGTTTGTATCCATGTGTAAATTAGTGTGTCTGCTACCTTTTCCAAATTGTCCAAATATGATATGTTGCTTAATATTGTAGTCTTAACACTCCCCTTCAAGCTCTAATTATTCTGTCTAAGGTTTAGTATTTTAATTAGATGCTTGATTTGTGGAACATAGAGTACTTTTGTTAAAATGTCTGCCACTTGGTTTTCTGTCCAAATATGTTTTACATTAATAGTCTTATTTTGAATGTAATTTTGTACAAAGTCTTTTTGTAAGTCTAAGTATTACATTCTTACACTATATGTCAGCAACAGTATAGAGGGGACCTGAAGGCTCAGTAAGAGGACCCAGGCTATAACTATTCTACACAACAGAAATACAGAATGCAAGTACTAGATCATAGTCAGAACTTGCAGAACAGATGTAGAGAGAGAGTGAGACAAGAGTAGAGTATATAGAGTGAGTCTAAGAGTACAGGACTATCTAGAGTAGACAAGATTAAGACTATTAGACTAGTCTGATCTCATACACTTATATATACTAAACTATACAAGAGTACTCAGGGAATATGAGCTACTAAGAATAATGAGCTACAAAGAATAAAAGAAAGGAAGATCAAAGATAAAGGTACAAAGAATGAAGGGATAGACAAAGGGTAAGAGACTATAGAATGAACAAAGAATGAAAGGGTAGTCAAAGGAACAGAATGATGAAGTAAGGAGGGGTAGTAGTAAGAGTTAGTATACATATAGTCTATAAACAGTACCTCTGAGAGACAGAAGTCCTGAGTTCCAGTATAGAAGGGTGTAGAACCCTCAGAACTGAGAGTGTAAGAGTAGAGAACTGTAACATTACCCTCCCTCTAAAACCAATTGTCCTAATTAGTGAACATTAGACTCAGTCAGTAGCTTAAGTATAGGTCAGAATGGTAGGGCTTGGAAATCCACAAGGCTGAGTTTGTGTAGAGTACTAGGATGAAGCTAATAGAAGTCTCAGATTGTCTTAAGAGTATGGGTAAGGTTCTTAACAGGTTCCTAAGTGTGCTCTTCAACTAGGTACCCTTTCTAGTAAACAAGGAACTTGAGCTTTCTACACACTAGCTTAGTATCTACTACATACTCTACTTTGTATTCTAGTTCAGAACTGATGAGTTCTGGTAGAGACAGTAAGGGTCTTTGTTACAAAGGAAAACTTGGATTATAGTACTGAGACAATAGAACCTTGTTAAACACTGAGTGTATGTACTTTCATATTGTCAGAAGTTAGAGTTTATAGACAGAGGTACTAACCTTCTTTTTAATGACAAAGGGTTTAAAGTACTTGTTGTCCAACTTCTTTATTAAGTGATTCATAGTCAGATTAGTAGCTTCTAGTATAACTTTGTTACTAGACTGGTAATCCTTGACTGTAGATCTCTTCCAATTATAGTTCTACTTTATAACCTATACTACCTTCTCTAAAAGAGCTTATACATCCTTCCTAGTCTTGTGTATCCATTCTACAAAGTCTGTCACAGATTTGGAACTACTGTTCTAGTTTAGAACTGTCCTCTAGTATGAATGTCTTCTGTAATTAAGGAAGAACAGAGACTATCCTGTTATAGAGTGTTACTAGTTATTATGTATGAATTCTGTTAGAGTTAACTATTCAGACTAGTCTGACTACTAATAATTAATGAACATCTAGAGATAGAGTTTGATCTTCTGATTGACTTACTTAGTTTGACTATCAGTCTATAAGTAATATATAGTAGAAGGGTTCCCTTAAATTCTAAGAAGTGTGTACAAGTCCTGTATGAATTTTGACTCAAATTGTAGTCTACAATTGTGAATAAGCTTCTGAGAGAGTTTGTACAACTAGAAGACATGATTCTAATAAATGTACACTATACCTTCAGAAGTAAGTTCTGTTTAGGTCAGAACTGTATAGACTTGCTTAGAGAATCAGTTAACAATTATACAGATAGTGTTGTAACCTTAAGACTTAGGTAGCTTACTAATCAGGTCTACTAAGACTTCTTCCTAAGAGTGATCTAGAATCTAATACAGATGTAAGAGAGTCTAAACCCTTGTCTAGTAGGTCTTAGTCTGTTAGTATGTATTGTAACTAGTTATGTACTTTAGGATTTCCCTCTACATTCCTAACTACTAGTAGTTCTAAGTAATAAGTTCCTACATTTTGTGTCAGTCTAAATGTTCTACAGTTAGATTGTTGTAATAAGCTTAGACAATGTCCTCTTACAGCTTCTAATCCTTCAGAATGTACAGTCAGCCTTTCTAGTAAACCTGTCTATCCTTATCCTCCTTCTAGTTTCTAGTCTACTTCTCTAACTACTTTACTACAACCTAGTCCTGTGTGTGTCTTAGAGCTTACTGTATGTAAGTGACAAAGTCAACATTCTTGGATTCAAGTCAGATCTCTTCAATTGTCTTAGACACAAAACAGGAATTGTCTAGGAGAACAAGATTTTTGTTATTATTCTCCTCCCTTTTATAACTTACTTGTCTTAAGAGTAAATTAGCTTTTGTCATTTGTGTTCCAGGTTTGTAAGTTAGTACAAAGTCATAGTCTTACAGTTCTAACATCTAGTAGGCCTGACAGTAGTTAAGCTTCTAAGGTGCCTGGAAGTACTAGAGATTAAGGTGATTACTCTAAATCTTAAACTTCTATATAATACTAAGGAGATATTAACACTACTCCTCTAAGGAACAGACAATTGTAAAGAGTTCCTTATTATAGATAGAGTAGTTCTGTTCTATTATAGAGAGGGATTCTGATTAGAACACTATTAGACACTACTTTCTGTTAATGAACTAAGACAGTACTACTCTATTTACAAAGTTGAAAGAGTTAACTTTGACTCAGAACTTGTTTACAACTATTAGAACTACTAATACAGGCTTACTAGTAATAGCCTACTTGAGAGACTCAAACACAGACTGTTACTGATCCCTCTATTACTAAGGAACATCTTTACTAGTAAGATTGTGAAGGGGCTAGACAATAGTACTAAAGCCTTAAATAAAGTGTTAGTAGTAGTTTACAAACCTAAGAAATACTTAGACCTGTTTCAGGTTCTAAGGTTGTAACCAGTTCCAAACTACAGTTACCTTTGCTAGATCTATACAGACCTCTCCTCTACTAATTACAAAGCTTAAATAATCTACTGACTCTTGTACAAAAGAACACTTTACTTCTTAAAGGAACAGTTTATTACCTTAGAGTTATTATAGAACTACTCAGATTAGTTAGTAATAATACTTAACTATCTGAGTAAAGATTAGAATGTTGTTTAGATACACACTAACATACTCTGAGTCAATCAGATCTGTAAGAATGTAATTTATGAATGACTAGAATGTTACAGACAAGTTAGTTAGTCTGAAGAACATTATAGTTAGTTTATACAATTTACAATTGGTTCAGAACACAGTCTTCTACTCATCTCTGTCTTAGATCCAAATATTATTGTACTCTTATCAAATGTCTAACTTAGTAAAAACCCTAAATGTATGTGTCTTATTAATGAGCTCCTGAATTAGAGGGAGTAAGTACTTGTTTTTAACAGTACTCTTATTAAGACAATAATAATTCTAAACTAGGTAAAGCTTTCTATCTTTCTTTTTGACAAAGAAGAAAGAGGAGACTATAAAGAACTTTGAGGGTTGGATCCAGCCATTCTGAAGATTTTCCTAAAGGAACTTGTCAAGTACCTCCTACTTGTCTCTATTAAGTAAGTAGACCTTACAATCCTTAGATTGGAAACTCTTAGTCAATTCAATTGTATAGTCCTAAGAGTAATGTTTAGAAAGTTAGTCAAATTCCTCTTTACTAAAGACTTTAGGGAACTCTCAGACAAAATCTGGTAGGCTGAGTCTATGTGTGTTCTAGAGTAGAGTTGTTCTAAGAGGGTTCTAAACTAGTTCCATCTCAGATATTCTTTAGATTAACATTGTTCTATCTTGACTAGAGTATGTGTTCACATATCTATCCTAGTCAAAGAAGAACAACTAGTCACCTTTATCAGAACTGTTAGTAACATTAGAAGTGTCTGTATTTACTTAGAACAGTAGTATAAGATAGTTATAAGACTTAGGACACTAATTAAACACAAGTGTCTACTCTAACCAGTTAATAGTA